TGCTCCCARTCGGGAGGTGCGAGGCTGCGTCCTGCCGGCCACGGTGCCAGACGGGCACATCCGGAGYGGGGAGGGAGACACGGAGCTGGAAGGTGCTGCCTCCTTCGGGCTTCCACAGCGGGAAATACATATTGCCTGGAAAGATGATGGGCCAAAATGACTGCTTTGCTCGGCCGAACCGCGTGGAAGTGCCAAGTCACTTCAGGCTTGACCCAATGTGAGGAAGCGCTTGGAAAAGGGGGAAAAAAAATGTGCTTTTCATGGTGGTGCTGTTTTATTTTGCTTCACATTTTGGTTTGACCCCATTTTTATTTTAGGCAGCAAAATGAAACTGAAATTAAATCAACAGAGCTGCTTCACTTGCTGTTAATCCACCCTCCTTACCTGGAGCTCCGGATTTAAATACCCCAGTTTTGGCTATTGGGAGCGTCTCCCTTGGTTGTGCACAGAGATCCCGAGCCCTTCCCCGGGTGACGGAGCCTCCTGGAAGGGGCCTTGGGCACTTCCCTGCCTGAGGCTGGGACATCCCTGCCCGCCTTTCCCGAGGGAGTCTCCCAGCAGAGACCTGGCACGCTCGATGCAGCAGTGAGACCCAGCAAGGCAGGCAGGAGCTTCCCCCCAAACCCCTCGCACATCCCTGCCCTCCTCATCCAGGCCAATCCCGCAGGGCGCCCAAGGATGCTCCAAGGCACTTAATGCAAAGCCAGGACCCCCCTGGCACGGCTGGAAAGCCCTTCCCGACCGTCCCCGCRTGCAGGGGCTGCTGGCGCAGGGATCTGGCCGGCGCGGTGCAGGCTCCAGCGGCAGCGTGAGGAGCCGGAGCCGAAGGGAACGYGCCGCGTGTCCAAGCAGCCCGAGCTCCAACCCGGCCCGTTGTGCGTTTAAACATCCCCACCCGCATGTGGCATCCACGTAGGGCTCCTCGGCTGCTTTGTGTTTGCATTTAATACGGGTCGTTATGGATCCGCAGAGCGCAGAATCAGCGGCGCTGCCCGGGCTCCGCGGAGCCTCCGCTTGTTTTTTTCTTGGGCTTTCTCTTTCTTCTTTTCTTTCCCCAAGGGCTGTTTGTGATTTCTTCCCAACTGTTTTGCCTCCTGCCTCCAAGTGGCAGGCTCGTTTGTAATGTGCTATTTTTTGCASGGGGCTGGAGGAGCGTTTGTGCCTTTGGGATACGGGCTGCGGGAGTGGGGATGGAGGGAGACGCTGGCATTTCCCACTCTCCAAACAGGCAGCCACCTTTTCCATTAAATTCAGGACAATTAGCCAGGAAAATCATGGAAATCCAAACCTCTGGCTATGGATGCATGGAAAGCCAGGGCTGTCCTCCCCATCTCCCTCTTTCCAGTGGCTCCTGCAGGGTTTGCACTGGGGGGCATTGCAATTCCTGGTTGATTTATACAGGAAAGGGGGAAGCGTCGTGGGGACAGTGCAGCTCGTGGGGTCGGACTGGCCCTGCTGAAGGCGACGCACAGGGATCATCCAGCCTGCGCTTTCTCTGCACCGCCCTCCCTCAGATTGGGGAAAAAAAYGGTGATTTCAGTCAAAAGCAGCACACGGTGCCTTAGTGAATTCGCCCTCCTTTTTTAAGCTCCAAAGAAATAAAAAGAAGGATGAGAGGAGCTTGGCGCAGGTGCCTGGAGCGATGAACGAAACGGGAACAGGCTCTTTCCCCGTGCCATGGATTTCCGAGACGCAGAGCGTGGCGCGGCCCAGCTGGGCCCGGGCGGCTCCTCTCCTCCTGCTCCGGCTCCGTAACCGCTTCCCGCTGCAACGTGATATTTCCCAGCGCAACCTCTGCAGGGAAACCGAGATCCGGGCTCGAGACCAAAACACTTTCTACCTTTGCACAAGCACAAGCAAACGCGGCCAGTTATTTTTTTCGGGATTAAACAGTTCAGCTTTGCTTTTTTCTGATGCCRGGTAATTTTTTTTGCAACCAAAATGCGCTTTTGGGCCTTTTTTTGTAGCATATTTGCCTGTAATAAGCGCCGATCCCGCGGCGCCACCGCATCGCCTTGGGAGAGGGTTGCATCAGCGCTCGCCCTCCTCGCCGCCGCCCTGCGATTCATTTACCAGCATCGATCACTCGGGCCCTTGGGTTTCGTGCTCCTCGGTGCATCTCCAGTTGATGCAATTAGGGCCGGATCCTGCTCGGAGCGGGATGTAGCCCTGCCAACCGAGCGGCTGGCGCTCCTGCAATCCTCCTGTTTGCATCCTGGAGGGGCTGGCAAGGGCGCCGGCAAAGGTGCATGGAAAAAAAGGGGAAAAAAAAAAAGAAAAAACACAAATTCATACTGACCCGAGAGGCCTAGTGAATCTGATGGAGCTGCCTGGGAAAACCTGAGGCTGCTGATTCTGTCTCCTGAGGATCTTGCTGGCTGCTTAACTCCATCCTCACCACTGGCACGCGTGGAAAACATGGTGCATTATTAAAAAAATAACATTTTATTACCCATGGAACTGGGGAATTAGCTGCGCGCTGCTATGTGTCCCATAAAAATCCTGGAAGACAGTGTTTGCTCCTGCTGTACAGCCCAAGGAGCCCTTGTGAAAGAGCAGAAATCCCCCAGCAAAAGCGCTGCAGGAATTCTGGAAGGCAACTCACCTCCTTGTCCGGAAATATTGACCAGATGATGCTTTTTCTCGTTAAAACCATGAATAATGCAGCCTTCTAGCACGCAGCCTCCTCGGGACCCAGGCACGCTTTGAGCTACCTGTTTTTCTCAGCAAAAAGGCTGTTTTTTGTAGGAGAACACGAGGGAAAACGGAGCAAGGGTGGCGACCTCCCAGCTGGCTCCTGTTTACACTTGGCTCTCTCGCGGTGCCCGGATGAAGCCGAGTGGAGGTGACGGGCTCGGACACCGACCCGGTCCCTCTTCCGGCTCATCCCATCCAGGTCTCTTTTTGACAACTCACTAAACTCTCGACATTCCTGAAAAGCCACATTCTTCCTCTAAAACCAGTTCATTCCTGCATCTTATAGATTAGCCGGAGCCGGAGCTTGGCATTACACGGCCCTCATGGGTATCAGCCCTTCCCCTCAGTGGCCAAATCACAGGCGATCACTGGGGATTTAGGGAAATCTGGTTGCRGTTTTTTCCCTCCCTCCTGCCAGTTCTTGCCAATTTGACCGCTTGCCCGGCCCTAATCCGAGCGGAGTGAAAACCGCTACCTCGGATCCCCCGCGTCGGAGCGGGATGCGGAGCGTGGCCCGGAGGCCGACCTGCTCCRCGGGGAACGGGAGTCATGCAATTAAGCGGGGAATTAAGAGCGCGACTTAGTGCACGCCGCCAACCRCAGGCGTATGCATAAAGGAGACAGCTGTTAAATTTAGTACGTGGCAAAGTCATGCGAGCGCTAACTGGATTACTTGCATTTATTTGGGAATACTTATGTGTTTTATTATGCAACGTATAGATGATCAGAATTCTGCCTCTCCTCCGGGCACCTTTGAGAGCAGTAGGGACAAGCGTGGTGGGCACCRAGCGAGCATATTTTGCATCAGAAGGGGTTTAATTAACGTGATCAATTTTAACACTGCCAGGGGCTGAATCCCAAGGTGCGGCTCTTCCCGGAGTCCATAGGGATGAGCCGGCCCGGGAGCGAGTTTTGGGCAGACCTTGTGCCCCTGTGGTCCGGGTTTGGGCAGGGAGCCTGGCCGGGATGCGCTGGGAGAGGCGGCAGCTCCTGCCTCCAGTTGCATCCCTAGGGAGGAGTCCGGTGGAGGCGGCGCATAATCCTGCCGGCTGAGCCCGGTCCAGACGCTACCAGACATTATTAATTCTCCGTATCAGGCCAGCAGGGACTGGCAGCCTGTTGTATAAATGTGCTGCAGTGGCGGAGAGACAGTCCCTGCCCTAAAAACGCTTCCAGGAGGAGGAGAAGGCGAGGAGCGAGCTRGCTGGAGCAGCCGGGCCATGCTCGCCGCATCCAATGCCTCTCCAGTGGGATATTCCCACAGAAAGCACCGGGTTGTTGCATTCCAAGGAGCCACCACCCGGATATTAACCTCGGCACGAGCATTGGCACCGGAGTGGCTGCCTGGGGTGGCTGCTCCGGTGGCTTTTCCGTGGTGCCCATGGGATGGAAGGGGCTCGTTGCCCTCGCGGCTGCAGCTTCCCCGGGGAGCTGCTGAACGCGGCACGTTCCTGGCCCGGTTTTCCATTTTTAGGAGCCTGTCAGAAATGGCACTCCGCTTGGAGCAGATGTAGAAAAATTAGAGGGAATTCAGAGAGCAGCAGCAAAAAAAAAAAAAAAAAAAAAAAAAAAAAAAAAAAAAAAAAAGGAAAAAAATGATTAAAGGAGATGGAGGGACTGATTTTGGAGGGAAAAGAAATCAGCAGAGCTATTTATAACGCTGCCTGCGCCAGTGTGTGTAGGAGCAGGCGTTTTTTAAAGCTCCTGGAGAGCTGAGCTGCAGGGACGGGACGGAGAGTGCCGGAGCCCAGGGAAGCTGCAGGGGGACAGGCTGGGGTAGGAACCCAGAGCAATGGGGCAAATCCACCCAGTGCTGGGGCAGAGCTCACGGCGAGTCGTGCACGGGATGGTTTCTCCTCCAGCACCTTGGCAAGGGTGCAGGTTAAATGCATAGCTGCATATAACACATATGTGCCTGGATAAAGATGGGCTGGACAGGATTAGGGGGGTACAGGCTGCATCTGCCTCAATTGGTCTCATGGAGGGTAACACTTGCATGGGGGGTATCAGATGGGGGCAAATCTTCCCTTCTTCACCCAARAGTGGTTGCTTTTGTAGCCTGCAAAGCACCTGCTACGGCAGCAGAGCCCCTTTCCCAAGGATTGCAGCCTCCGCACACGGATCCTCGCTGGGGCAAATGGAAAAAAACCTTTTCCCAAAGCAAAACCAGCTATGGGGGAAAACCAAATGTCCTCATCGGCCGAAGGCACGGAAAACCCTTTTCCTGAAGCAAAGCCAGCTATGGGGAAGCTCGTTGGGAGCCGCCCCCGGCGCCTAACGCTGCCTCTCCGCTTGCCTTGCAGGACGTCGCACTCGCGGGCCAAGGCGGACGCGGCGGTGGCCGCGGCGCAGAAGGCGCAGGAGGAAGCGCGCATCGCCAGGATCACTGCCAAAGAGTTCTCGCCTTCCTTCCAGCACCGGGAAAACGGTCAGTGCCGGTGGCGTTGCCGCCTTGCAGGGGCAAAGGCGARGCCGCCTCTCGTCGCCTTTAGAAACCGCCCTGAGCTCCTAGCCSGTGGGAGCTGCATGAAAATGCAGCGATGAAATATGGGAAAAAAMCCCCAAAAACCTAAGGCTGCAGGAGCTTAGATGCCAAAATCTGAATGAACACAACGATGGTCACTGTTTTTAACCACACGGCTTTTGGAGCCTGGTCCCTGATTGTGCTGAGCGCTGCAGGGACCCGATAATCCCATCCCCGTGCACCCATTTCCGTGCACCCACCAGGGAGATGGGGAATGTGGTCCTGGCGCAGGGAGCCCCTTCTAGGCCTGGGTCCTGCCAGGAGGACGAGGGGTCGAGGATGGGAGGATCTAAGTCCCCGCTGCAATGATTAACATAGTAATTAATATATGTGAATGGCTTTATTCAATAGTTCCCCTGCACCCAACCCTCGTTAGAAGGCGTCTATCATTATTTCCCCCCCTCTTCCAGCTCTTTAACTCAAGATTACTCATTTGCCTTAATTGCTCCAGGAGCGGGTGACTCATCCCCATGCTGCCGGTGGGTCCTGCAGGCAGGGATGGGGAYGGGGGACAGGACGGGCTGCCCAGGCACGAGGGAGGCATCGTGTGGCCAGGGACACTGGCCTCAGGTGCCGTTTCCTCCCTGCGAGCCCAGCCCCAGTGCTGGGGCGAGGAGGACGAGCTGCAAATGCAGCAAATGCAAACGCAAAAGCTGCTGCTGCAGGGGCTGCGCGGGCTGCACTCGCCCCGCGGGGCATCAGCGATGGCAGGATGCCCTGCAGGGCCCCGACATACTCCCCGTCTCCATTTCCTCTTGCCGAAGGGCTTTGCTGCTCTCACATCGCCGCTGGAAAGATATTTTTAGGCAATGCGKTTTTTCCTGGCTCCTAAGCAGGGACGTGTTGTGGAGCCGGTGGTCCTGGTGTCACAGCTGGGCAGGCTGCGTGCGAGCAAGGGAGCAGGCAAGGAGMTCCCTTCGAGCACGTTAGGAAGCAAATAGCACCCGAGGTGTATCGGGAAGCCCGGGATGCTTCCCTATGGAAAGAATGGCAATTCCTTCCCTATGAAAGGCAGGCAACGGGATGCAGAGGGCGGCAGCATTGCCCTGCAACCTGGGCTGCATTGAGCAGAGGCATTGCCAGGCACCGGAGCTGAAGCAGCTGGAGCGTCCCGTGGGCTGTCCTGCCACCAGGGATGCATCCCAGCTCCAAGGAGCAGGGGATCGCGCGGGGAAGCCGGTTTCGGGGCCGTGCTTCCAGGAACGCCACGTGCTCCCGGCTAATTTTAGCCGGCRGCGACCGCGGAGCATCGGCGCACGGTGCAGGCACCGCGCGGCTGCCGGGGCCGCAGCGGCAGCTCCTGCTGCCGGGCACGGGGCCCTGCGGCGGCTGCAGAGCGGAGCTCACTGCACAAACCTGCCCCGTCGCGGCGGGTGTTTTGCCCCTGCGGGCGGTTTTGGTGACGCGCAGCGGGCAGAGGAGCAGGGTGGCCCTTTTCCAGCCACCCTGGGTGCTATCYGGCCCCTTGGCCACCAGCACGGAGCAGGAGGCCGGCACAGGCCACGTCCTGCCGGCTCCTGGAAGATGCGATGGAGAAAATTACTCAGCATAAGCAGGGAGATCAGGGCAGGCGCTTCAGAGCGATTATTTTTAAAGCATRGTAAGAAAATTGAGTTCTTCCTTTCTGAGACTCATTTCTTGTCTAGCCATAGCAATTGCAATTAGATGCATTTCAGGGGCATTAGGCAGTTAATATATTTATCAAATTATTCACATAATTTAGCATAGYTCTAGCTGGGAACAACTATGCCTTGAGAGGGTAAAAGGAGAATTAGCCACTGTTGGCTTCCATCCCCCTCAAAAGAACTTGGTGGTTCCTCAAGGATTAACCCGGCRGGGATTTTGCATGGAGAAGGGACAGGCCTCGTGCTAGCCTGTTTCCTCCACAGGGCCCCATCCCTGCCTGCAGGTACCAGTGATGGGGACATCCCWAAGGACCGGGTCCCACCTCAGCTTCCTCTCCTGGGACAGCGGGGAAGCTTGGCCAAACCCCTGGCCATGAGTCATCTTTTTGTGCTCGCCTGTGGATTTCCTTGTCCTTCTGTCCACCTGAGGCCGGTGCTCCAGACAGGCCGTGGCGCATCCACCAAATGTCTCCCCACAACGGAGGAGCTTTTTGCAGCAGGAAACATTGTCAGTGCTTTTCAGGACCTGCCATTTCTGTTGCAGGCCCTCACTTATGTCTTGCATAAAATCTTTGGACAAAACTCTTTTTTTTCCCTACTTTTTCCCACCTGCTAACCTGTCCTTAGGGTTGCTGGGGTAAGAGGGTTTCCTGCAGGGGCTGCACATGGGCAACTGCTGCACACCCAGCATGCTGCAAACACCCCAGAACCGAGCCAGGCTGTGGCTGKTGCAGGAGCTCTTTGCCATCCCACCTGGGCTCAACCTCTTTTCATCAGGACTTGCTTTCCCCCAGTGCAAACCTGCTGCGGGTGCGAACCCCACAACAGGACAGGACCCAGCCAGGAGCCTCCTCCCTCGTGCAGGGCGCAGGGATTCACGGAAGCACCTTCAGGGTCAGATTTGCCAGCCAGGACCAGCCCTTTGGTGCTGCTTGCTTATCCCGCAGGGACAAAAGCCCCGCGCGTCCCGTTGCGGGCAGGGATAGGGAGCGGGTCTGGTCCCTGGGCACGCAGGGGTGCCGAGCACGATGTGCTGTGGGCACCGCCTCCAGGATTTGCCTTCACGTGCCTGCAAACTGAGTTTGGAGATGGCAGGACAAGGTGGTCAGGTGGCTCAGCGTTGCATGCCAAGGGACAGAGCCATAATCCGCTGATTAGCGGGATTAGAGTCACTGGGACTGCGTGCAGACGGGGCCCATGGATACCATGGGGCACCGYGGTGCTCTGCGGGTGCTCGATCAAACCAGCGACGCCTTTTCCTTGCTCTGAGAGCAGGAGGGCAGTTATTGTGTGGCTCGGTGGTTGTCCTGCTCTTGCCCTGGGGCTCCCCTGCCACCCGACACGCTCAGCCCTGTCCTTTAACACAAAAACCCCCGCTAGGTGCCTGCGGAATAGAAATAACCCCGTTACGTTTCTCCCCCTCTCCCTCCCTTCTCTCATCCGCAACTCCAACACGCAGGGCTCGAATGCCAGCGGCCCAAGCGGCAGAATTCGAGCGACGACATCGAGGTCCTGTCCACGGGGACGCCGCTGCAGCAAGAGAGCCCCGAGCTGTACCGCAAGGGCACGACGCCGTCGGACCTGACGCCCGACGACAGCCCCTTGCAGAGCTTCCCGGCCAGCCCCTGCTCCACGCCGCCGCTGGGCCCCGCCGGCCGCAACAAGAGCGCCCACTTCTCGCGGCAGCTCTCGGTGGACGAAGAGCGGGGCGGCGAGATCCAGATGCTGCTGGAGGGCCGCGGCGGGGACTACCTGCGAGCCAACAGCTGGGGCGAGGAGAAGGCCGGCGGGACGCGCGCCGCGAGAAGCGGGGCGCTGCGCAGCACCCCCGTGCCGGCGGCCTCCGTCCCGGAAGACTATCGAGGCCGGAGCGGAGGGCACAAACACGCGGCCTCCAACCACAAGCAAAGAGAGAGGTGGACAGATTCCCCGGCCACGGTGTCTTGGACTTCCCACCACAGGTCCCACAACCACAGCTCAGGGAGCTCCAAACTGCTTGAGCTGGACGAGGAGAAGATGAGCAATTACGAGATGGAGATGAAGCCCCTCATGAGGATGGATTCTTATATGCAAGAGATTCACACCCAAAAAAGACACTATAGCAAAGGGGGGTCCTGCAGGAGCATGGCTGATGACCACCGCGGAGAAGACCGGGGCTTTGGGGTTCAGAGACTGAGGTCTAAGACCCAGAACAAAGAGAATTTCAGGCCAGCTTCCTCTACTGAGCCTACGGTACAGAAACTGGAAAACCTGAGATTCGGGGACAAAGCTGAACCTCGGCTACTAAGGTGGGACTTAACCTTCTCCCCGCCACAGAAATCCTTACCTGTTGCACTAGAATCCGAGGAGGACAATGGGGACACGCTCAAATCCAGTACGGTAAGTAGGCAAACGCGGGTCTTGAAGCCTGGCCTAGAAATCTGGTGCGGAGCTGAGGTGGTGCCATGGTGGGGAAGGGGAGTTTGCCATCGAGTTATCCCATGTTTGAGCTTTGAATCCCCACCTCTTTTCCCAGGCCACATAATAGAGGATGTTGGAATATAACAGAGGGGTGAGGGTTGCAGCTTTCAAGCCTTGCTGTGCCTGCCGAGTGTCTTGCTGGAGTGGTGGGTTTTGCAACCGAGGATGTGAGCGAGGAGTTTGATGATATTTTGCAGCTCAGCCCAGGGCCAGCAATAAAACTAAATGCGGGTGCTGGGATTTTGGAGTGTGCACCTTGTGGAAAAGCTGCAGGACGGGGCAAGCCTGTGTTGATGCTGCGGGGTGCATGGGTTGTGGCAGCAGGACCGTAACCCAACCAAGGACATATGGTATGACCATAACCAACCAAGGTTGATGCCACCACCTTGTCCCATGGCTGTGCTGGCAACCCGTGCTGGGCACCATGGCAAAGGCCTTGTTGGGGCTCAGGGGGACACGTTTAGGTTTTGCTCCTGCAGAAATGGAAGCACGTGCAGCAGRGAATGGTTTGGATGAGCCGGTGTGGCCTGGTGGCCACGCTAGCTGCAGCATCGTGCTTGGAGAAACTGCCAGCAGGGAATTATCCAGGGCAGCACCGGACCRGGGGAACCGAGCGGCTTCCTGCAGGGTCCGTCCTGAATCGATCCGTGCTCGGGCTTTGCATTAATGATCCGTGGTGCATTACAGCTCATGCGGAGCAGTGTGGGGAGAGCTGCTGCGACACAGGGTGCTGGGCTCCRGCTTTGGGGACAGACCAGGGCTCGCTGGCCGCCAGCAGCAGCTCCGAGCAGGAGCCGGGAGCATGCGTGGAGAGCAGGGGCTGCTCAGGCCCGGGCAGAGCGGGCTGAGCAATCTTCAAGCACATAAACAGCTGCTGCAGAGGGGAAGGGAATAATTTGTCCTCCGTGAACAGAATTAATGGGCTTAAATTCAAGCAGAAGAGGTAGGGGTTAGCTATTAGCCATTACGAGCAAGTCAAGGGCTGGAATAAATGGCCTGGGGAGGCTGTGGCGGTGGGGAGGGGAGGAGGGGGCCGTTGAACAGCTTGGGCAGCTGCAGCACGGATCTAGCTGGAAATGAGCAGGAGCAGCCTGGGARGAGGCCAAGCTTGGTGCCTCCCCATGCCCAATCCCACCGGCTTTTAGGGACTGCCGGAGCYGCCATGGAGAGCAGCTTCCTTGCTTGTTCCTGTTAGCATCAGGAGGCTAAGAGGTTTCAGATGAACACAAAATCCATCATTGCATGGACTGAGGTCATATAGATGGTCCATACCTTTGATATTAGGATGTCCCAAACTGCAGGCAAACGGGGGAGACAGGAGTGCCTTGGGGCAGAGACGCGGCATGTGGCACGAGGGAGGGCGGCACAAGCCTTGCTCGGAGCCAGGCCCTCCTTGGGGACACGGCCAGCCTGGATCCCAGGAGCAGGGCTTGGCTGTGGGCTTGGGAGCGAGGCAGGCACCAATGCAGCACTGGTGGCTCTCTGGAGCGCGGCAGGCACCAATGCAGCACTGGCAGCTATCTGGAGCAAAGCAGGCAGCAATGCAGCGCTGGCAGCTCTCTGGAATGAGACAGGCAGCAATGCAGCATTAGCAGCTCTTTGGAGCAAAGCAGGCAGCAATGCAGCGCTGGCAGCTCTCTGGAGCGAGGCAGGCAGCAATGCAGCACTGGCTGCTCTACGGAGCAAAGCAAGGAAGCAATGCAGTGCTGGCAGCTCACTGGAGCGAGACAGGCAGCAATGCAGCATTAGCAGCTCTTTGGAGCAAAGCAGGCAGCAATGCAGCACTGGCAGCTCTCTAGAGCGAGGCAGGCAGCAATGCAGCACTGGCTGCTCTATGGAGCAAAGCAAGGAAGCAATGCAGTGCTGGCAGCTCTCTGGAGCGAGGCAGGCAGCAATGCAGCATTAGCAGCTCTTTGGAGCAAAGCAGGCAGCAATGCAGCACTGGCAGCTCTCTGGAGCAAAGCAGGCAGCAATGCAGCGCTGGCAGCTCACTGGAGCGAGACAGGCAGCAATGCAGCGCTGGCAGCTCTCTAGAGCGAGGCAGGCAGCAATGCAGCGCTGGCTGCTCTCTGGAGCAAAGCAAGGAAACAATGCAGTGCTGGCAGCTCTCTGGAGCAAAGCAGGCAGCAATGCAGCGCTGGCAGCTCTCTGGAGCAAAGCAGGCAGCAATGCAGCCCTGGCTGCTCTATGGAGCAAAGCAAAGAAGCAATGCAGCGCTGGCAGCTCACTGGAGCGAGGCAGGCAGCAATGCAGCACTGGCAGCTCACTGGAGCGAGGCAGGCAGCAATGCAGCATTAGCAGCTCTTTGGAGCAAAGCAGGCAGCAATGCAGCGCTGGCAGCTCTCTGGAGCGAGGCAGGCAGCAATGCAGCCCTGGCAGCTCCCCGGAGCGAGGCAGGCAGCAATGCAGTGCTGGCAGCTCCCCGGAGCGAGGCAGGCAGCAATGCAGCGCTGGCTGCTCACTGGAGCGAGACAGGCAGCAATGCAGCCCTGGCAGCTCACTGGAGCGAGGCAGGCAGCAATGCAGTGCTGGCAGCTCACTGGAGCGAGGCAGGCAGCAATGCAGCGCTGGCAGCTCTCTGGAGCAAAGCAGGCAGCAATGCAGCCCTGGCAGCTCCCCGGAGCGAGGCCCAGGCACGCGCAGCGGGCGCCGGCCGCGTGCGAGGCTGCACGAAGCAGGTATTAGCATGCACATCATACTTGCAGGCGCTGTAGCTGTGAAGCAGCATGTTCAGTTTTCTCACATTCATAACTGAGGGTGGAACAGATGGCGAAGGTTTGGGAGGAAGCTAATGTAATACAGAGGAAGAGATAATATGTGGATTTAAATAACCCACCAGGCCAGCAACAATTTGTTCTAGCGAGAGCTCCGCCGGGCGGGCTGCGTTTCGCTGCAGCCGCCCAGCAGAGCGGGGCAGCGCACGGTGCCGTGATCTGCGCTGCAGCGTCCTGCGTGTCCTCCGACCCTTTCCTGCGCTCGCCTTCCCAATGCTGTGATTCCTGAAAGGAGAGGGAAGCCGAGGGGAGGGATGCCCTGGCAGCTCAGCCTGTTTTGAGAACTCAGAATTCGAAAAAGCAGCTCCCCGCGAGGCTCCGTGGGATTCAGAGCATGCTTGGCACGAGCTACCAGGGCACTGGGGGCTCCGGGTCATCCCCTCGGCTCCGYGCGCCTACAAATGGCTTAAAATTACCCTCAAAGGCAGCTGCTCTTTCTGTAGCCTGTGGTACTGATCCCTGTGTGTGCAGAACAAGGTCGCGTCCGTTGTTGCTTGTGCAGGGGAGAAGGGAGGCCTGGGTGCACCTGTGCTGGTGCCTTAGGGACATTTTATGGGATTCCCTGTCCCCTTGGGCATGAATCTCCCATGAGGACAGAGCTCAGGCCTTGCCAGGGTGTTGCTTGGATGCTCCCAGCTCCTGYGAGAGGGTCTGAGAGAGGAAAGGAGGGGGAGAGAAAGGAACTGTTGAGACATGGGAAAAGGAAAGGGGGGTTCTGAAATGCCAGCAAGCCTGTGGTTGATCAGTACAAAACATATCATGGTTTTTAGGGTTGCAGGGGGGRAAAAAGTCTGTAGCTGCATTTCTGCCAGTGCCGAGTGTCTGTAGCATCCAAGGAGGAAGGCAAGTGCCAGCGACCTGCGGGAACTCAGGGARCCAGTGGGAAAGGTGGGAGTCAGGCACGGATGGAGCCTGATCCACCTGCAGGTCCTCACTTAGCAGGGGCAGCCACACGCAGGTGTGGGAAGCCATGGTGTGGGATAGGGTGTGGGAAGCTCCCTGTGGATGTGCCTGGGCTCAGTACTCAGTCCCATAACCCCATCTCCTCCGGCTGGGACAGCCCCACGCTAGAGCAGCAGCCTCCCACCCCTGACATTTTCTGCCACTGTCACCTGCTGTTGGGTGAAATCCAAGCGGATTCAGCGCGTTCCTGGCACCGGCACTGCTACAAATGGACGGGGGCAGCAGTCGCAGCATTGGGCTGCAATTGAATTTTGTGTCTGTGCAGCTAAGGGCCGCGTGGGCTGCAGCATCAGGCGAGGCAGGGAGGTCTCCGGGGCCGCAGCGCCCCACGGCCGGGCTCCCCGGCAAGGTATTCCYGGCATTCCCAGGACTCGCTGTCACTGGGAAGAGTGCTGGGGGGGCAGCCCATGTGCGGCTGGGTGCAGGGATGGGGGGAAACAGGGACAGAGCTAGGGGGAAACTGACAGAACCGAGGGGAAATGGTGATGGAACCAGGGGGGATATGGTGACAGCGACTGGGGGGAAATGGTGACGGAGCCAAGGCGGGACATGGCGACGGAGCCAAGAGGGAAATGGTGATGGAGCTGGGGGTACATGGGAACAAAGCCAGGAAGGACACAAGGATGGAGCCGAGTGAAATGGTGACGGAGCCAAGGGGAACACAGTGACGGAGCCGGGGGGGGACACAGTGACAGAGCCAGAGGTGATGTGGTGACAGAGCCGAGGGGGACATGATGACGGAGCTGGGGTGACACAGTGATGGAGTCGGGGGTAACAGGGTGACGGAGCAGGGGGGGATATGGTGACGAATCCAGGGGGGACACAGTGACGGAGCCGGGAGGGACATGGTGATGGAGCCGGGGGTGAGGGCATGGGGAGCAGCATGGGACAGGGGACATCTCAGAGCTGCTGCAGGTGCTGGGAAGGTCCCACCACACCATGGRCCAGCGGGGAAGGGGCCATCCTGCATTTAGTCCTCTGGGACTGGGGCTAAGCCAGCAATTTGTGGAGATTTCTTTTAAATATATAGATATATATGCAAAATATATAAATATATATGCATAAATATATGCATGTATAAAAATGTATATGTATATATATGCATTTTCTCTAATCTCTCTCAAGTATGGACATGGCAGGAATTACTCATAGCACCAATAAGATGCAGAGGGAAACGTGGTGCCTCTCTCCACGTTTTACCCTCTTCTAACCTCTTTAACCCCCTTTTACTCGGCTTTTGACCCCCTTTAATCCCCGAGGCCATGGCTGGATAAGGCAGCTGCCTGGCCRCGCTGCTGCCACCCGCTGCTCGCTTAGGGTTTTGAGCCTTTTCTGCCAAAAGGACCCAAATCTTTGAGCAGCACCAAACTGTGAGCCCATCATAACCCGTCATTTGGCCCCGTTTCGGTCCCATTGGACCTTTCTTCTTGCTCCTGAACTGCCTGTTGCTGTCACAGGTTGCAGGGGGAATTTGTCAACTCAACACTAATGCCGTGCTGAGTTTCCATTATTTTTCCGGGGCTGAGGCTGGAAAACAATATATATATATATATATATATATATACACATATATATTTTTGCTGATCCAAGGCCTTAGTAATTGCACTTAATAGGCCCCAGAGGGATTCCTAGGTAACCTGCACCACGGTTTCCATGGCAGAGGACTGTAGCTTGCACTCATCAACAACAAATAATAATGGATTGTTAATACTTAAATTAATTATGCTACAATCGTATTTGCAAACTAGCTGTCCCCAGTAGTCCCAGTAAGACTCTTGAGCTGCCACAAAACAGCTAAATAATAAAAAACACAAACAAAATAGGCAGAAATGGTGGCACTTAGCTCCAGCCATGCTCAGAGCTGCACCAGGCCAATAACAAGACAAGACTATAATTGCAAAAATATTAGCTGCTAGTTGTAAATTGCTGGCTGCTGAAGTCAAGGGGACTCCACTGACCTATTGCCAGGAATATATCCCTTCTAGAGCACAAGCCACAGGTGATTCATCCTCCAACGGGGCACTGAGCAGGAATCTCTTCCTAGAATCCGATGACACAAACACCAGGCTGGCTCCGCTACTGGAGGGAAGCACAAGGACAGGCGCTTGCTCAGAGCGGGAGGTTAAGGCACAGAGATCTTACCAGTTAGAAATAAGCCAGACATAAGAAGCATTTAGAAGTGCAGCAGGGTTCGTAATTGGAGCTAAAACAGAAGCTTCGGAGTGGCAAAGCTGCTTATCAGATCAGCTGCCACAGGCAGGCCCCTGCGAGGATGCACTGGTGTCTCCCAGGGGACACCAGCACCGACCGGCCTGGCTGGAGGTGGCACTGGGAAGAGGGTGTTGGAATGTGGGAACTGCAAAAAGGAAGCAGATTTTGTCATTGACAACTGGATTTCAGCTATTCCCTTTGCAAAGAGCCTCCCCTCCCAGGTTGTCACATTTAGTGGGACACGTTCCTGGCAAATGCAGAGGCTCTGGTGAATGTATCGGCAAAGCAAAGCAAACGTTTTCACCCGGCTCTGCCCGRAACGGGGAGAGGTGCAAGGTGCAAATGGGTGCAGAGCGGAGCGGGCTGCCGAGCGGAGCGTCGCTGCACGGGAATGTTCTTGCAGCGGAAGCGGGCGGTGTGGGCGCCCTGCTTGCACCGTGGCTCCCTGTGCATTTCCCATCAGGACATAACTTTGTCTTACTGGGGTGTAAATATGCCCTCCCTGTACATGTGCCCCTGCCGCCAGCATCCCATCACTGTCCCCTGAACACAGGYGCCAAAGGATTGAGACCTGGGATCACGTTAATGCAAGCTGCAAAATTGTGAAACCCGGTAATCTTTGGAGCTGCAGCTCAAGCCCCCCAAAAAGGCGATGCCGGGGGGCGGGATGTGCGGTACCCGGCTGCCTCTGCAATCCCGGCTTTCGGGAGGCTGCCTCTGACCCCGTTGCCAAGCGACCGGCATGCCTTTCCGGAGCCGGAGCATCCTCTCTCCCACCCACTCCCAAATGCGAATCCCAACCCGCCTGCGCGGGAGGGAGCAGGGAGTCAGCAAGGAGCCTTCATCCCGCGGCTCTGCAGGTGCAGGGACCTGCTAGGACAGCAAAGCCGTCCCGGTTCCTGCTGCATCAGGCAACRGCGCCGTGTCCAGATGAGAAAGATGAAAAGAAAAACACTGGAGCAGCGAGAGCCGGCGCGGCTCAGCTGCAGTGGGAATACACAGGGATACGAGCGCCGCCAAGAAATAGCTACCACCCACCTGCGAGCGCCAGGGCAGCGGGCAGCGGGGCTGGGAGGATGGCGCCTCCTGAACACATGAGTTCTCAGGAGCACGGGTTCTCTTGAGCGGGGGTTCTTGTGGAAACGGGCTCTTGGGAACATGGGTTCCTGGGAACACAGGTTCTCGTGAACACAGGTTCTCCTGAACAYGCGTTCCTGGTAACATGGGTTCTCGGGAACACAGGTTCTCATGAACACGGGCTGTAGTGTAATCTGCCATGCACTTGTCTTGTGATCCCATGGGATGCTAATGGGGTCCAACAGCCACATCCTAGTCAGGTTCTACACAGCAGCATTAACAGGACATGGGCAAATTGAAAATGCAGTGAAGTGCAAGTCATGTCAATTAGAGGCAGTTGGCATATTGCCTTTATGGTCAGAGGGAAGGAACGGACCCTCCTGGGGTGCAGTTAATCAAAGCTGAGTGGGGCACCTGAGAGGGGCCAGCAGTGCCACTCATTTGCTTGCCCTGCAGTGGAAATGCAGCTGGAGCTGCTCATGGACACAGGCATGGACACTATAGGTCTGGACTTAGCCCTTGTTGATGCTCTTTGCAGCAAGGAGCAGGGCTTCATTCACATCTACCCACCCAGACGCAGCCACATGCAAAAATAAATTAGAAATTAAAATGCACAGTCGAGTTTGCTGGACAATGGGGCYGCTCGGCTGGAAGGCGCAGATCAGAGGGAGCGGGAGCGCCTCTCCTAACTTGTCTCCTTCTGTTTCTCTTCCAGGGCTCGGCTCCCATCCTGGTAGTCATGGTGATCTTACTAAATATCGGAGTCGCCATTTTGTTTATTAACTTTTTCATCTAATTCAAGACTGTCTTGTTTGCAAAAATAAGTTACATGTATGAATGGGGGAAAAACAAACAAACAAACAACAACAACATAAAAGGGAAAAAAAAAATCCTAACTCGAACTGTCCTACGACGATTTCCAAGTCTTTTCACAGAAGAACAACAAAYGATCGAGTCTCACTCACAGTTTGCCTTTTTTCCTGGGTAATGTTTTTTGGATTTTAGCCAAAATTCTTTGCTTGTATAACACTATGCTGTGTGGCATGGCAAAATGCTATCAACACTCTGCCCCCCCAACACTGGAGAGGATGAGAAGGGATCCCAAGAAAATACAGCCTCCTTCCCCTTCCCCTCACCCCCGAGAATAAAACCCCAACAACAGCGATGAACCCAAACCGGAGACTAGCCGAGGGGATCGCGGGGAGAGTTTGATTCCAGCCTCGGGTCCTGGGATTAAGTCAATRGGAGAGAAAAGCAAAATCCAAGCGCCTGGTACTTTCATTCCCTTCTCCCTTCGCAAATGGAGAAAGGTTGCGGTGAGGAGGAGGAGCGCAGGGACGGCATAAACCTGTTTAGGTGGAAAAGACGGGAGAAGGGGAACAGGCCCCATTTTCTAACCGGGTTTCCAAATCCAAGGAGCGATTGGCGTTTTGCTAAATTTGCTGGGGCAGGCGGAGCACGAGGTGTGAGCTGTGGCCCCGCTGCTCGCCTGCCTGCAATCCCCCTCCCCACAGCGTGGCGAGGCTGAAGACCCCCCCAGGGGCCCTTGGTGTCCACAGCCCATTTCTCCTGGGTCAAAAGTGGTACCCGGGTGCCCCTTCCAACACAGGGCAGCATCCCAGGTGCCGAGGATTCACCCTGCTGAGGGCTGCGTCCTCGGACAGGCGAAGAGCAGCGTGGCCCGAGGAGCAGATCATCCCCACCCGAACACACGTGTGCAGAGATACGGGGGGCTCTTCACATGGKGGGGGGACAGGGCTCCATTCTGACCCACCTGATATAAAGCGAAACCAAATGCCGTGCAAATCCACCTGGTTTCCAAAGGCATCTGGGGAGGAGCAGCGGAGCATGGCCCAGGGCGGCGGGAGAGGGTGGTGGGTTTGTCTCTTACATCTTGCTGTGGACTGTTTCAGACATCATGCTTGGGCTCTGAGCATGTAGTATTTTGCACTTTGTAATGCGGGATGTATATTCCAGCTTCCAACATGTCCCTGTAAAAAAAAAAAAAAGAAAAAAAAGAAAAAAAAAAAACAAAACCAAACATCATTGGCAATGGCAGCCTCTAAGGATGTATTCTTTTCTTTTATTTTCTTTTTTTCTATGTCACTTAATCGGTTTGTTTATACCATCTTTGTAATATGCCTGCCTTGATTTCCTGCCCTCCCCTGTCCCCCTGATAATATGCATACTCATTAAAGATGCCGTATCCCTGTCCGGAGCTGTTATGATCCCCCTCACGGGAGCGTGGTCGGAGCTTGGGAATGGCTGATGCTCCCTGGCATTTCACACAGGACTGTTCAGTGTCCCCCAGCCTGTCCCTGCGGCCCGGGACTCGGCTTGCCATCCATACCCCCAATCCACAACCATAGGGGACACTTCAAACCCGGCTCCTTTGGGATTTGGCACCTCCAGGGACCAACTTCCACCCTCAGCTCTATCCCTGCAGCCAGCGGGGGGGACGTAGCCYCTGTGCTTGGGTGTCCAGGGTGGGGAGTCCTCTCCAATGTTTCCCATCTGGAATGGTTGGGTGCAGCCCTGACTCGTGGACTCAGCTTTGCTTTGCTTCTGTTTTAGCTGTTTCTCTGCTACCTTTTCAGCAGATTTCTTATTACACTGCACTGGATTGCTATATTTTTAACCAGAAATAAACGAAAGATTAGAGCATGTGCCAGCTAAATTCAGTTCTTTGCCTTACATGGTCTTTCTCACTCGCTCCTGCAGGTTTTTCTTCCTCCTTCTCTTTCCATCCTTTYCCAGGCCGAGGGCTATGGGTGGATAGGGCAAATGACACTGGAGGCAGCAAGACTCCCATATTTTTTTTTTTTTTCCAAGAGCTGCCCATCGCTTTGGGACTTGTCCATTTTCCTGCTTTTTCCTGGGTTTTTTTTTGGTCCCTAGTCCTCTTCTTCACTCTTGAGTGGTTGCTGCATTCCTGAAATGACCCAAATGAGGACACTGGGTAAGTGCAGCCCACGTGTGCTTTCTACCTGGCTGCACCTCTTTGTCAAGACTCTCAAGGAGTCTCTTTTTGTACAATCCAGCTAAGTGCATGACACAAAGGTCCCATCRGCAGCAGGTTAAATAGCTGTGTGCAAACATACTACAATAGTATGTTTGCAAACAGCACCCAAAAATGCCTATCATTATCAAATAAACGTTCTAGTGAATTCAAGAACAGCTTTTTCATGACAGTGACGGACGAGTTGCTCTTGCCCATGCGGCAGTAACTGCATGCACAGGTGCAACACGTTTGATGCAATTCAGGTTTTTCACCTCTTGGTTCCCCTGGACAAAACCTCACTCAGGCTGAGGTTTATTCGGTAGGAAAGATAATTGGAGTCCAGTATTAACTGGTTTCCAAACCACATGTTCCACAGTAATGATTCCTTTATTAATCATGATGAGCCGAGCAATTTGTYGTGGTTCTAGGCTTTTCACATCTGCTCGAGGCCAGAAACGTCCTTGAGAAGTAGCCCAGAGAGAGAGGTAATTTAGTGTATTTTCTTTTTCTTATGAGCCCTGGATTCCTGCRTATCTACCTATGCCATGCCTAGCCATAGCTCATTAAAATCTCTAGCTTCATGGCGTATAAATCCATGTGAATTGTCCATACCTGCCTTTCTCTGTCCACATAGACAGAATGCACACACATTGTTGATGGTTTCTATCAGATTTCGTAGGCTGAGGTGGTATTTTTATGTTCACTGGAACATGCAGCACCGAAATAGGAGGAGCTGGAGCTCAAAGAACCCACCAAGCTGAGCTGGCTCTCATGCCATCGACATAAAAAGCCTGGGGATGAGGCTGCGTCCCTGTCCAAGGGATGCCCAGAGCCAGCAGGCCTGAGCAATGGGCCAGCCTGACTCTGCATCTTTGAGAAGGMCATAAAGGGATAAGAAGTTCTGTTCCTGCTAGCCCGCCTGGTGTCCTCTCTGCTTGGAAGCAGGACCTGGATCCTCTGAAAGCCCCGAGGCTCTCCCCTCAGGTCTGATCTTTCCAAGATGAGCTCTTGCATTTGGTTCTTTGCAGGGCTTTATGAAGCCTCAGTGCTGCTAAGGGAAAAAAAACACAGACTGCAATGTTGGGAGTGGGGAGAAATGGCTGGAAATTAAGGCCATGCCGATGATGAAGGGGTTTAGTGAAACCAAAGGACTTAACTCCACGGTTTGACAGGTTTTAAAAAAAAGCAGGAAGTTTTTAACATTGCCTTGAGCTGAGGTTGGGCCCAGCTATTTGTGCTAAAGCAGCAGAGAACTGAAGGTGAAGTGCAGCCTGCTCATGCTGCACCTTTTTTTTGCTGCAACTAAATCACCTGTATGGGAGAAAGGCTTCAAGATCTGGGACATGGAGACAGGTTGTTCTCGTACAGGGCACCTGGTCGACCCCTTGCACAGGCCCTGAACAAACTGCATCACTGTGTTGTTGCTCCACACTGAACCCAAGGCCTGCTACATGCCCAGCCAGGGAACTGTGCTACACGTAAACATGATAGAAAATGTCATTTTACTCTGCTACTTACAATGCAATTATGGTGTGCACATGTGGCCTAAAAAAAAAAAAATTACTCTATATTTTTTCCTCAATGAGTGAGTAAAAATGGACAGTTGACTTTTAGCTAAAAAAAGGTAATAGGTTGGATGTTTCTAGATACAGTAACAAAGACTGAGAACTCTTTATGCTGTATAAATGCAAAGAGATGGGCAAAAGCAATGGTCTGAAGGAAGTCAGAGGAATAACTGAATTTTATTTGGGTGTTCATACTTAAAAAAGCACAAGTTTTTCTGTGTTCATCTCAGATAGAGGAACATTCTTACAATAGACTCTAGCTCTGCAATGACTTCCAGCCCTGGTCCTACCCTTGGACATTGTTTGGGACAAGTAACTTCATTGATGTGTGTCCACCTGCCTTCCTCTTCTTGTTATTTTTGGACCTCAAGAAACACAACCATAGATCTGATCCAGCATGACTGAACAGGCGTCAGTGGGTGGTCAGATGGTCTCAGAGGAGATGGTGGTTTGATGGGAAGAGAAGGCAGCACCTTTCCCTGGAAAGGCAGCACCTCCTCTGCCACCCACCAGCCCAAAGCTTCGTCTGCTCCAGCTCTGCAGGGACAGTTGGCTCATCCAGACTCGCAGGTTCCTGGGAAACAAGCTGCTTCCAGCCCATGTCCTCTGCAGCCACCCTTAGCTTGGCACAAACGCCACTGGATTAAAAGATAACAGGAAAAACCTCACATTCTTGCTGCATACCTTCCAGCTCAGTTGATGCATCTGGTTCCCCTTTCCAACTGTCTCTCTACTGGAGGGGAGAGAATGTTTTCCTGAGGCTGCAGCGCTGTTCAAAACAGCCCTTCATTCTTGGCACTGCAACAGCCAGGTTCCAGCTATGGGGAAAAAAAAAAGATCTTTCACTGTGTATAAGCCTGTATTTTAAGTAACCAAAACACAAAAAATGATAAGGCAGATTTGCAGATTTGGCAAAAAAGCCCATGTTCCACCTCTCTGCACTTGGGCTTTTGGAAGGGAGCCCTATGCGCAGATGCTGTGATTTTAAAAACACTATTTTCAAACATCTGGGGGAAAAAAAAAAAAAGGAAGAAAGGAAAAAGGCAGAATTTCAGCAGCGGATTCCCAAAGCTCTTCTTCGAAAGCCATGGATGTCATACACACACACAGATCAAATGTCAAGGAGTTGAAGCTTTGTAAACTATCCCAGGTGACAAGACCAGGCAACAAATGCTGTTAGCCAAGCAAGCGCTACAGGCTCCTCCTTAAATTACAAAAAAATGCTTTGCTTTCACCTCTCTCCACTATTTCACATATGAGACACCTTATCAAACATGTTTTTATCTTGACAATTAAATCGCACAGGCAGCCTGCTCTATTTAATCTTTATTACATTCTAATTAGCCTTGCAGAACCTAGTAGTGCTCTCCTGGGAGCTGGTTCCCTCGTGAAGTCCCTGCCAAAACAATACCCATGGCACCCTCAATTTCTCTGCGCAAGGACAGCCAGTGCCTTCTGGTGTCAACTCAAGTCATTGCTTGTTGGCTGCAGCAGACAGGCTTTAATCCCATCTGTTGTCCCTATGGGTTCCAGTGACATTCTGCTCAAAGAAAGCGATGCCTTGAGGAGAGGGGCTGTGTCAGAGAACAAGGGGAGAAGATCCTTTGAAGGTGCCAGGTCTCAAGGTAGGCAGCAGGTCTCAAGGTAAGACATTTCATGGGTAATAAAGGGCTCACTTGTAGGATGTCCGCTTTCCTAGCCAATATGTTAGAAATATGTTGAACTGGGGCCTTCCCCCCCAAAAAGGCAAAATCTGCTRTATCTAATGCTGAAAAGGAAGAAACTCCTGCTGGCATCAGGGGTCACACCAGCTCCCACAGACAAGGTGTGGGGTCTCCACACCTTTTTTAAAGATCTCCAGTTTTCTCCAAGCAGTATGGTGACATCTCAGAGCTGCTGGTGCATCTTACAACCGCTGCCTGCAGATCTGATAGAGGGAAGTGACTCCTGTTTCACAGCAGGAGCAAAGGGGGAAGAAAATCCCAGCTATGATTCACACAGCAAACCAAGATCATGTAACCAAAGGAATTTATTTGAAAAACCCTTGGAGATAAGTTCTGGTCCCAGTCAGGGTGAGGAATTTGGGACCAGGAAACAACTGCAATGTGCAGTTTGTCTTCACCAACTCAAAGCAACTTCTGAAACGAAACATGACATAAGAATATGCTCAGGCCTCTGAAGAACAAGTGCTTGGGCTGCTATCATGTTCTCCTAGACTTCCCACCACCTGTAGGGGATTAACAGCATATTCAGAGCATTAACCAAGTAGGCACATTGACAGTGGTCAGCCCGAGGCACTCAGATGGAGCAGGCAAGAGCCGGAGTTCCCAAAAACTGGAACCTGCTGGTGGCACCAACTGCCCAGCACACGGGGTTGAGCCGCTTGGGTCAGTGGGACTAAACAGAGCTCCCACACGGATGTTCACACAGAAGATGCTCAACATCTATACTGAATCTTCATAGAATGWCTTTGCCATGGCATGGGCAACTTTCTGCACCTTCTTCTCCTTGGCATCTGGGCCCATGTTGCTGTGGGCTAGTTTAATCCAATACTGCTCCGTCCGGGACAGATAGTCCGCTTGTTTCTCACCAGGCTGAACAGATGGGTGCTGCTCTTCTCCTAGTGCAAAATGGAAAGGAGACAGGAAGAGAGGTCACAACCAAGTAATGAAAGCAAGCTGCTCTCCCATGTGTCTGCCTGGCCACGACCACACTTCAGCTCATGTGTTTAACAGCTTAAAGAGCTCTTAGTGACCGAGGAAACTTCTGTGCCCTAGGATGTCTGAACTATCCCACTGCTGAAAAAAACTCATCTGGMTGCCATCTAATTGTTTCTAAAATAAAAAGACAAAGGAAAAAAAATTTAAAAACCTTCCATGAATCCAGCCTGGAAAATGTCTCTTGTTGTCCCTGCATGGGAAGCAGGGCTTTAATCACAGGGGCAAGCAAATTTCTGATCACAAATAAGTATGCATTTGGGTGAATGGGAGTAAGATGCTTAAAGCATTTGCCCTGATTCTTCACCTACACATGATAAAGGATAAACTCCTCTTTAGCATGAGGTTTGTCACAGACTGATAGTAGTAAAAATACTACCATACTATCCAAAATGTGCTGCCTTTGTATACTGAAAAATCCCAGGGGACTTAAGCCACCATTCAAGTAGGCTGGCCTCTCCAAATAATGAAATCTCATTAAATTCAAAAGAAAGCCAATGAAGCCTTCCAGGCTGACAATCATACAAAAAGATATATATACATATATATATTAATATATTAACAACCTTATATATTAATCATTACCTTCCTCATCTTCACTCTCCTCTTCAGAGCTCTCCTCATCCTCTTCCCCTCCCTCTGCACCTTCCATATCATCCTCTTCATCTGATTCTGACTCCTCCAGCCATTCTTGGGCTTCTGTGATGAGAAAAACAGATAAAAGAATTAAATAACAAACTGTTTCCCACTCCTACACCCAAAACTGACATGCTGGGATTTTCTCTCTCATGAAACTCCTGGTTTCTGCCACTGACTTGCACCATGGATTCAAAACATTACGCAGCTTTAAACAGCCTGAATTTCCTCATCTGTGGCAAGGGAATGGCCAAGGTTCATTCCCCTCTGGGGACAGGGATGGCAAGCGACTGGTCCGTAGGCTCAATGTAAATTCAGAAGGAATGAAAACAAGTCCAAGCAGTTCAGACCTCGTGTTTGCTGCAGATTCCTTGGGTGACCAAGGCAAATCATACTGTCACTTGTGAAATGGCAGTAACAGCAGGTAGGCAGTCCAGAGCGAGGCAGACAGAAATAGGAAAAACCCACGCAGGCATTTGGATGTGAAGATTATTAGGAGTGAAGGGCAGAAGGAGGATATACAGACAAACCTACCACAAAGAACCATATACGGCTTTTCCATGTCGAGTCCTGTCAGCTCACCATGCCTATGAACCCCACTGCAAACTGTTTACAACACAGCCCTCATTCCCAGAACTATTTTTACAGTGTTTGGAGCAGTTGGGACACGTTTCTTATTTACCTGCCTGCTGCTGCTGTGTGCAGAGCCAGACTCTCCTAGTTTGCCTGCAGCAGTCGCATGAAGAAAGCTCTGGGGCAAGCAAAGCAGTGAGCTCCACGGGGTGATCAGAGGAAAGGGCTCTTGCCCTGAACACAGCCTACAGCACATTTTGACAGCCCAATACTGCTTAGTCTACCAAGGAAGAGATTATCACTCAGGAAAGAGGCTATTCCTTGATATTTTACTGAGGTGCTTTGTCAGATCCTGGCTCTTCATCTTGCAAGTCTAGAGAGAATCTTGTTTTCTCTCCTCTGTTCTGGCCCTTACAAGGAGCTTTCAGGCACCAGGTAGGAGGCAGAGAAGATTTTCTAGATCCGGCACTGGCAGCTGTCCAAGAAGTATTCAGAGATTTGGGATGTCAGCATTTATCACACTCTGCATTTCCCTTGCACTCTGCTCCCCACACAGTCTCTCCCAAGGCTTCTGTTAGTCTCTGGCTAATGCCCACGTGCTCTGCAGCACTTGGATCCTCCCTGGGAAGGGCAGGCACATCCCTCTCCTCTGCTGAGCAGATCAGCAGGGCACAGCAGGACTTCCCAGGCTGTATCCTACCACCAGTTAACAAAGACACTGTTTRCATGTCTTGGTTTTCAGAGTAAATGGACCAGAAATTGCTCCCTACACTTAGAGTAAAGCCCTGGACCAGGGAGGCTTCTGCAGTGACAGTGACCATAAGGCACCATGTAACACAGACACTTGTGGGCTTCTTTCTGTCAAGAAAGCACCACTAGTCAACGGCTCATTGTCACCCTTAGAGGAACTTCCCTACCTTGCTTCTGCTGGAAACCTCATCTTGGTGGCCACTACATTAAAGGTACWGAGAACAGTCACCACCACAACTTACTTGGATCCATCTCCACTAGAACTTTCCATTCYTCCATTTTGTGCAGGTCAAGGCTGTAGAGGTCGCTGAGGGTGAACTGGCGATCGCCCACCTCAAACATTCCCCCATACACATAGAGGACTCCATGCTTCACGGCCAGCATGGCATTTGAACGTGGGCACGGTTCCACTTGTGGGCCTAAGGCCCCATCTTCCTCCTCCTCCTCTTCCTCTGATTCAGACCTCACTCTCTCTTCTGCAGGCCCAGATATCATCTGCTTGATTGTCATGACAGTCCCGTCTTCTGCCACCACCTCTTTGACCATCTCCACTGGGCCCTGTGGAGGCTGCTTCTCCATCTCTTCTTTGGCCCCCTCTGCCTCAGCTTGTCTGCCACGTCTTCGTTTCTTCTTCTCYGACTTTGGTCCCTATTAATAGGAAAGGAAAAGGGACCAACGTGAGGCTGGGTGTGACAGTGTGCAGCTAACAACAGGTACAGCAGCTAACAGTGCTGCAGAGGCTACCRGGAGAGAGGTGGGAAAATTCAATTATTTTCCACTAGGATTGTAAGTCTCAGGTGACAGGCGCAAGCTCCCACAAAGCATGAACTTCTACCAGCCATAAAACAAAAAACAGTGAAACTCAAGGAGAATTCAGGGTGTGAAGAAGTTGCCTCTGTTAATGGGCTGGAGTGAAGGAAACCAGCTCTTTTCTCTCTGTCCTGCAAGCAAGTGTGTACATGCGTGTGCACAGGAGCACGCACGCTCTCAGGCCACTGGTTTGTGACAGAGGCAAAAGAAAATAACCCACCATTTTCTGAAATCAAAACAATTGCTGGGTGCTAAATTATAGTGCATTAACAGGAAGCACTCCAGATCTTCAAAGTACTGCATAAAAGGGCTGGGGAACAGTTGGCTAGGAAGCCAGAAGCAAACACCTGAGTGGATGTTTGTATGTTATTATGTGATTGACTTCTCCTTTTTGAGAACAAAGTCAGAAAGAGTGGAGGTGGAAAGAAGGAAGCTCAACCAGKTCATCTGCACCTAGCTTCCTACTTGACAGTGGTTCAAGCAAAGGCGGGGATCTGAAGGTCACATTTCTGAGGCTCTTTGGAGCCAAGGGTGAATATTTAATCGCTTCTAGCAGCTCATGTACAAGAAGAAAAGCAGAGAGTTTTCTTGATCCCAGTTGAACACAGGATCTTCCCAGGGTAGCTTCTTCCTAACTAGCTTGTGTTAAACTCACACATCTGACCTGGGATGGCCTCCAGTAAAACACTGTAACGGAGTTTTCATGCAGCCTCGTTTCATCCTGCATTACACAACAGGACACACGAGGGCTGCGAGGCTTCCTTTCTGCCCAGAAGGAACAGAGGCTGCATCAGATTGCGAGGAGGGGACAGGGAGAGCACAAGGAGCCAAGGAGACAGGGAGAAAGGGCAGCATAAAGCTGAGAACTTAACTGGGCTGGAGGCAGAAAACCTCCAACAGTTGCACATTCCCACGTTGGAGCCTGCAGCCCTTTCCCCTCTCCACAATGAGCTGGTTGCAGACCAAAGGGGTGACCAGACCAGGGGCCTGAGCTTGTGGAGCACCCCAAGTCATTGGAGATAGAGACTTGCTCCTGGAAAAGCTCACAGCAGGAAGGTTGGATGGGACCCAAAAAGGCCCAGAAAAAGGACCTATTTCAGATGACAAAGGAGGATGAACGGAAGACATTTGTATCATATTCAGCACACTACCTTAAGCTGTCCAGGAAACCAGCGTTTTTTCCCCATATCGTAGAAATAAATATCATTGAAGAAGTCCCCTTCGATGCTCTCTTCCTCCTCCTCGTCGTGCACACCTCCAAACAGAAGGGAGCGGTTATTGGGGCCGATGGCCACAGAGAAGCCGGACCTGGCAGTAGGTTTCACTCCGGAGGGGTTGAGCCGACTCCAAGTCCACTTGTCTGCTAATAGATAAAGGAAAACAGGAGCATCAGTGAAGTGGAACCTTGGTCATTTTCTAATCTTGCAGATGCCTTTGGTTCTCCAGCAATCTTTCCAAGTATCTCAAGAACCATTTTGGACACTCCAAGAATGGCCCCATGCACCTTCAACAACAACATTTCTAGAACCACTTGCATTGCCACTTCAAGCACTCGGATCATCTGCACATCTCTCCACCTGGGGGATTTCTGAGGACAATCACACATGAAGGAAAACAAACAAAAATCCCACTGTTGATAATTTCCCTGCATCAATTCCTAGTCTTGCCCTTTAGAGTCTCTAAATGAATGATCACTATCAAACAGACCTTGTCAGGAACAGAAATTTCCCCAGTGTGGGAAATTCTGCAATCCCAAAGATTTTTTTCTTGTGAAATAGAAGATCAACAAACAAAATCTCTCCGGGAAGAACAATTTTATAATGTTGCTTTAATTCCTGCCCACGCAAACACCAAAACCCCCATGAACATCATTTCCTGTAGTTTTTCTGAAGCTGCCTGAGTTACGCAAGGATCCTGGAAATCCTCCACTCCATCTCAGTCCTGACATCAACAGGGAAGGGTTTTTGGTCTGTTATCCAAAAAAGAGGGAATCTGTGTTTGCAGGCCAGCAGCATCACCTCYAGCACAGCCCTCCTAGCTCTGATGGCAGCTGCCTACCTTCCTCCTTGCCTGAGCTTTCACTCTTCAGCAGGAACATGTCCGTGTGCAGCGTGCCCTTGTCAACATCTTTCTTAATTCTCTGTAGGAAAGGCAAAGACAGGGGTGCTCAGTGAAAAAGCTTCAATAAATCAAAATTCAGGAAGGGGGTTGGCCCCTCTTCCAGGGCCTGGGAAGCCACCCACACTGGAAGGGTGGTAACAGCCAATTACCCATGCTGAGCTCTGGTATAGAGAGTATCATGTGTTCCCAAAGGAGCTGTGTAACATCCACGACCACCTCCCCTATCTGTGAAGGGAGCAGAACCCACTCCAAGGAAGCAGCCCACAACCTTCCACAGGGCTTGCAGGGCTCTCCGGGATCCTGCCCTCGAACACGGAGCAGAAGCTCTGAGCGTCTGCGCGGTGTCACTCGCAGTGACAGCTCTGTGCTTGGCACACGCGCTCAGCCCCTGCCACCTCCCCATTTCCATCCCACTACAACAGGAGCAGCTGTGACAGTGCTTGTTCTCCACACCCCAGACTGCCTTTTTTTAGCATCTGAGGTCCCAAGAAGCCTTCAACAGGAGTTTTCTCCTCTGTACAGAAACAGATACACCCCGCTCCCACCCCTGCTACAGGCAACAGTGAGAGCAGGATCCAGCCTCAGTTGAGCTAATTAAACATATCGGTTTTTGACGCAATTTTCCTCTGCTCCTCCACCGTAAGCCCCTGCACTCCAGCGCTCACAKCAACATGCAGTATATGAAAGCAGCCCTATGCACCACCACTGTAGGAGGTGTGTTAATAATGTCATCATCCGCCCATCCTTCATGTGGGGCTCCAGCTTCCTTGTAATTCCATCCTCCTGGGGGCGAGGGCACTGCTGGGCTGGCAGCAGCTGCCACTGGAAGCTGGTGGATGAGCCTGGCACGTGGTTTGGGGCATCATGCAAGGCTGTAACCTGGATGATGCCCGAAAAGCCCACGGAAAACCAGTAACAAAGCCCTGGAGGCAACAGAAGAGCTCTGCTCTCAGTGCAGAAGGGGAAGCTTTGGCCGATTCAAGGATCAGGGTCTGCTCTTAGGGCTGCGCTGGGAAATTTYTGTTTGTTTCCCTGCTATCACACTGAAAGATCATCACACATTCACTCTGCAAGAAGGATGTCCATGATGGCGAAATCCTCTTCCACACTGCTGCTTCAGAGGGGTCAAGAGCTGCATTATTCTACCTCTAGTCCCCAAGTAACACAAGCAATAGTCTSATCTTCTGCAGAAGGGGATTCACAGCGCCGACTCCTTCAGCCTCTGCCAGCTTTCCAGCAGATGAGCACCAAGCAAGATGACTTTCTGCCCAGGTGGGAGGCTCTGGGACACACCTAGAAGAGCTCTGGTTTGGAGACATCACAGCCTGAGAGCCAGGCCTCCTTGCTTCAAACAGCTCCTTGGGAGAGGGATGCCAGGACARGAACGGAAAGCAGCACCCCCCTGGAGGGAAGGTGCCCGAGCACCCTGAGTGTGGGCTGCGGGCACTGTGCTGCACATGTGCTGGCATCCCCAGCGCAGCCTGCGAGTGCAAGGGGCTGTGAGTCACCGCGCGCAGAACTCGCTCCGGCAATGTCACGCCTTGCTGTCCCTCTCACACACACGCAGAAATGCAGAAGTCACCTGCGAGCTGCAYGCTGGGCCCTTTGGGTCAGTCTCTCACCTCTATCAAAGATCCCTGCAAGTCCCACCCAGGTAAAGAGCCATCAGAGATGGACACGGAGAGGACAGGCAGGGAGTTTCACACTTATATAAATATTTACAGCTTTGAAGGCACCCCAGGACTGCAGAATACCTGCCTGCTCACCACGAAGCAAGTGGTGCTTGCTTCCATCCCTGCTCCCTCAGTGCCAGATTTACCATATATGTATATGTATGTATAGAGGACACACAGGATGCAGAAGCACAACTGTCAGGCATGAGCACTGTGTGCACGAAGCGGGAGCAAATACCATGTAACTGGGGTTGCTGCCAGCTTCAGTGTCGTGCATGCTGCAAGAAATAACGGCGTTATTCTTCTCCCGAAAACCACACAGCTCCCTGTAGTAAATACGCAGCGTCTGCAACATGACAAAGCCGCTTGGTCTGAGAAAACCCTGACGAGGTGGAGTGGGAGTTGGTAATTTGTTGTTGAAGCGCCACGGAGCTGTGGGAGAGCAGAACAACCCACTCCAGCATCCCACTGGTCGCACGCAAACCGCTGCAGCCATCGCAAGGGCTCTTGTTCTCACYCGTCCTTCTTGCCTTCAGGTTCCAGTTGTTTGCTTTCAAACTCAAAATCTGCTTGGACCTCCACAGCCTATTGTTTGCATACAGAGATGAATTAGCAAGTTAGAAGGGCTTTGCAGCTATTAACTAAAAAGCTCTGGCTCCAGGGACAGCAAGAGAAATGTTTATCATTTTTCAAATGGCAAGGAAACCGAGGCATGGAGAGCTGTTCTTRAGAGGAACGGGACTGCCATGACTCCCCACTTGTAACTGCTAACTCTGCTTAATAAAAAACATCAACAATGTCCAAAATACCCAATCAAGAGAAGCCCTCAGCAGACAGAACTGTAGAGCAAACCTTTCCTGCATGCCCCTGCAACTCAAGACAAGCAACCCCAGCCCTGCCACAAGACATCTCAAAGCAAACAGAATGGAAAATTCACTGCAAAAAACAAATAAACAAAAAAAATGCCCGGTGCTCGTTTCCTTCGGCATGCMAAAGCCTGATGCCCATGGAGTGTGGGCCCTCCCTGCATGCACCTGCAAGGCAGAGCAGCGCTCGGCTCTGCCAGCTCCCGGTGCTCCAGGCGGGATCACGGTGCTCATGTTGCCTAGCAATGCAGAGGGCTCCTTGCCTCAGGCAGCCTAAAGTGCCGCTCGTCGCAGCAGGGCCCGGTCCCAGTGCAAGGAACGGGCCAGGACACGGTTCTGATGAGCAGCAGGGCAAGCAGGAGTCCCTTGTGGGCTTTAGGGGGTGGCTTGGCAGGGCTGGCACCGCAGAGGACAGCCCAAGTGGCTGCTATCCTTTCCAGGCTGCGCGTGGAGGGGACACCGCTGTGCTGAGAATCACGCGCTTTAAAATATCTGGCACGTTACTGTCACGTTGTGCATCAACATCGCGTGTTAGTCACACTCGGGATGGGAAGGCTCCGATCTAGGTTCTCACTGTTTGCACTCGGGCTGTTCCCCACCTGCAGTTCAGCATCCTAAGGCAGCGGTGTCTAGTGGCTGGCGCAGGCAAGTGCATGTCTGGGTGGCAGGGCTCTCGCCCTGGCTCTGTCCAGATGCTCCTGGAGGGCCTGAGACTTGAGCTTTTCTGCTTCCATCCAGCCATGAAAGTGGCTCTGTCAAGTCAAGTTTGAGTCAGCTTATAAAAGCAACTCTGGACCGAGAAAAACGCCCCCAGGTTGCACGCAGGGGAACCGAGCAATGTGGACCAACAGATGTTCTGACAGAGACCCTACCCGCACGCGACCACAGCGACCAAAGCCAGGCAAAAGCTCCATCTCCTCGGCCTCCCAGCGCAGGAAAGCAGCAGCTCTCGTGCACCGCCACGGCCACGGCAATGCGCTTATACCAAAACCGAGCAGACACGTTGCTTCCCAGCCCTTTTCCTCCTAACCAGCCACACTCAGCGCATGTCGGCACCATCAGGTCTGGTTTCAGCAGGGGCGCGCCCTTCTTACAGCACACACAACCTCGTGCTGCCTCTCACTAGAGGAGATGCCTCTACATGATGGGCTATGGATGTCAGAGCCCAAAGATATCTCTGAAACACTCCTCGCTGCAGCATCGGCCTCTCCAACAGAGACAAGGGACAGGTCTTCACTACCCAACTCCATTCGTGTTTCCCTTTACCTTTTATCAACGCCTTTGTGGGCTGTATACAAGTTTAGAAGCTAAAAACTCAGTTCCAAAATCATCCATAAGCAGAGAGACAAAGAGAATAACCACAACTAATGAAATCGTGATTTTCCTAGAGGGCCAAAATCTTGCCGAATACGTTTTCAGCACCACACTAAAATCTGTCCCATTTGCATCTCAGGAAAGCTGCACAGAGAATTCTGCCAGTGCTTTGGTGAATTTGCAGCTGGGATGCGTCACTCGTGCCTGAAAATGCACTTGTGCTGCAGAGACACAGGCAGAGGCTTGGCTGGGAACGGCACATTGGAGAGCAGGAGACTCAGCTCCCTATATTATGAAGACAGTAAATTCATAACTGCCAAGATATCGGGGCTGAGAGTCCAGGAGAGGAGTGGTTATTTTCCTCTAAAAGCTGTTGCGAGTTGGAGAGGAACTGCACCCAGCTCTTAAGCCTTGCTCGTGAAGACTGAGGGCTCACTTGTCACAGCAGAAGGCTGAGGGCTGCCTTGTATTCTCCTGTCCCTCTACTTCTCTCCTATTACCTCAAAGCAGCCTAGAGCAGTGCAACAGAGCACCCTGCTGAAGCATCAAATTTTACATTTCCATGGGCCACAACACACTCCTGAAAGCCAAGCGCTTTCTGCAGCCCGAGACACCCACATGCCCAAGAGTGACGGAGGAGGACAAAGCCCATGCAGGTAGAAAACCCTCTGTTATTGTTACTGCCACTAACCAAACGCACATGCGAGGAGCTAGAGCCCGCAGCGCAGGCCGGGAGGAGGCATAAATGCTTCTAAATATATAGACAATCTTCCCTCTCCTTTCCCTCCTTTTCTTCTTTGTTCATTTATTCAGATGAGAAGAACAAGGCGTCCTCCTCCCCCAGTGCCACGCTGCTGGAAGCGAAGCCTCTCCACGGAGACAGCGGCAGCCGGGGCTCCTCTCTGCATTCGCAGCATTAAAAGCTTTTGCAGGAGCCTTTTGCTCAATGAAATATTTACTTCCTCCCTCCCTGCATGGAGACAGGGATACTTGGTCAATGAGGACATATGGTCTAAAGGGCTATACGGTATAAATTACCATGACTAAAAAAGCCAGAAGCAGAGCAGAGGAAGCCTGGTGCTCATCAAAAGTCCTCTTTTCACTTATCGAGTTTGCTAATCGGTGCTGCTTCCTTAACCCTTTCAGTGATGCAAGAAAATGCAGCTTAAAAGCAGTAGTTGTCAGAAAACTTGCAAGTGCTGGAATGTGGCCCAGTAATTTTGGAGAATGCTGGAAGCTGGCAGCAACCATCACTATTGCCATCACAGTTGCTCATTCCTGCCCCCACGATGTCACCTCCTTATGTCAGACTAGATCAGCAGGGAAAGTGTTCCTTTTAACCCAATATTTCTTTAAACTGAAATACTCATTTGAAGCACTGAAATACTCATTTGAAGCACTGTGGGTTTGCAGCAGCCTTAGCCCCCCTGTGCAGTAACAATCCAAGGGCACAGTTGGGCAGTCGCTTCAGGCCGGCACATGCACAGGCTGACATGGAAAGGGCACTTTGGTCAACAGCATTTTCTGGACATCYGACAGCTGCTCAACACACAGAAACTATCACCGTGTCACCAGAGCAGCAGGCAGCTACGTGATGAGGTCATCAGACCTTGCACTGGAGACGAGGTTTGTATGGCTGGACACACAAATCTAGCACAGCAGCAATTTCAATTTTACTTCCACAGACTTTAAGCACTTTTGCCTCTCCAAGCGGCCAAAACAGAGGATCCCAGAACCAACACAGGTCAAGACCATCATACTGGGCTTACTGAGACAATCTGAGTTTTTTTCATCATAGCCCTTTAGGTTTTCTTCACATCAACTRTTCTGTTTGGCACACAGGAAACATCACATGAGCTCCCACCTACCTGTTTGGAGTAACCCCCATAGATGATTATGCCGCCCTCAGGRGTGGTAGCCATTTGACATCCAGATCTTGGAGCAGGCCCAATCCCAGAAGGAGCCAGCTTGCTCCACGTGAAGGAATCCAGGTTGAAGGCGTACGCATCGTTGTAATAGATGTAATCTCTAGGGAGAGCACATTGGCACACCACAGGTTTTTACAATGCCTGCCATTGAGGACAGTATAAAACAGCACCAGGAAATGGTGCAACATTTTATTCAACTCCTTGTATTTATGGCCTTTCTCACTCTGTAGCCATAGCAATGTGCAGGCAGAGACTTGCTGGGATGAAGGTTACCATCGCAGTACAACAATACGCTCTTCATGAAGCTGCTTTAAGCAACACATCTCTTTTTTTTTTTTTTTTCACATCTGTTATTCTTTACTACAATAGAAGTTTCACCAACTCTCTCCAGGAAACACAGTTCCAGTAATTTAAACCAGAACACAAAAGATCAAAATAGATTAGGGCTATGTCTGTCTCTAGAAAAAAATCAAGCAAACAGACATACCCATGCTCTCTTTCAACTAGCCAGCTTRCACACAGGAAGGTCTGCACATGCTAAACTCCCAAGCAGCCAGCTCCAGGGCAGGCTTGGAAATGTGGGCTGTGCTCCTGGAGACTGCAGCTATGGGAGCTGGACRGGAGACGACTTGGAGCTCGGCTAGCTCACAGCTCCCAGGACAGCCTAGCTGGGACCTGGAGCTGTTTCCCTAACACTTGGAGGCTCTAAATCACAACCACTTCTCTTCCTAAAATTAATCCAGTCCAGCTCCAGTACTGCTCAGGATAACCCTTGCAGTAAAGCCCAGATTCTGTTAGGGGTGAAATTCTGTTGTCTTTGCTACAGAGGACTTGGTACGCCAGGCACTCCACAGGGACCCACCTTGCGCTCTCATGGAAACCTCCAAAGACAATGAGCTGTCTTTTGCAAGCAACCATTCGATGCCCACTTCTTCCAGAGGGTCCTCCTGATGCCCTGAAAGGCAAAACAATTCCACTCATCAACAACAAGGTTCCTGTTAGTCCATTTTCATAGAAGGCAGGAGCAGCTGGGCTGGCTGAGCTCAGCTTCTGTTCCTCTGGTACAGAAAACCATTTCCCCCCCACAATACGATATGGTTTCCTCCAGAACAGGATGTGCGCTCCTCCTGCATTGCTTGATATTTACAACACTGGTATTCTGCAGCAACGGTTTTATTCCTAGTGATAAAGCCACCCAGCCGCTAACAGTACCCAAAGTCTTGAAGTCTTTTCTGCTGTGACTCAAGAGGTAATTTTTCAGGAGAGTTTAATGAAGAGCAGTTAACTCCCACAACTGCAAGGAAGGCACTCCAGAGATGCCTTTTCTGAGTACCACGAGTCACAGACTGGCTCTCACATTTACTCTTCTTCAGTATCTCGGAAAGTCACCTTTCCTACTGCCTTCACTCACCCACTTTCAGGTAGGATATAAAGTCAAACTAACGAGAATACTTTGTAAATCACTTTGATTTCCTCAATAACAAAGTCTTGCAACAGAACAAGTCATCACTATTATCTTACTTAATAAAGCAGCAGCTATGTATCACTGTGCTGCTCTTGGCAAGCCTTCCTGACCTTTCAGTTAAATGTGCCACTTCCAGTTCCAGAAACAAGGCTGTTGGCATCTCCAAAAGCCAGTGACATATCCGAGAGGCAAGAAAGATCCACCTTCCTTTATATGTTCACCCGCTGTCAGAGCATCAAATTGGATATAACCAAAAAAAAAAAAAAAAAAACAAAAAACCTTCAAGAACTCTTAAAACAGAGGTGACTTCAGGCCCAGCACAGCCCACGCAGAAAACAGGGTTTTTCCTCTGTTTGTTCCCTGCCACCCTGGATTAATCTATCACATTTGCACTCTCACTGAGAAGTCTACCAAAGCACAGTTAGCACCACTGTGCTCAGCAAACCTCTCAAAGAGGTAGCTTTACCATGCTCTAAGTGGCTGCAGAATCAGGGTTTAAATAAATAAAAAGCCTGGTCACAGCTGAAGACAAGAGCAAAACCTAAACCCACAACCCTCCTGCTACACTTTAACTGGCAGCAGGTAGCGGGAAAGGGCAGTGATTGATTTCTGCGGAGAGAGAAAATGAGGGCTCTTGTGCACCATCCAAAATGACCAGCCTCATACCAGCCACAAGGAAAATCTCCAAGCAGAACAGCAGCATTTGGTAAGGACTGAATCAATATTGATTGCCAGGACTCTTTWTTCTAACAGCAAGTGAGGTTTTCTAGGCCTTTCGTAGCAGAAGTACCCTGCGGAACAAGACCTGTACTGTTAATTTTGTCACCATCTTGCAACATGATTTTCTCTCCTGTAACAAGACTTCCACATCATTATGCCAGAGAATGGAACCTTTTTTTTTTTTGGGGGGGGAGGAGGGGAAGTGGAATTAAAGGAAAGGGGTGCGGCTGAAGATCAATGTTCACAATAAAAAATACAATCCTGTTCTCAGAGAATTTCTCTTTGTTTCTCCATCAGGCTTCCTCTAAGTCAAAATCCAATTCCGAGTGATAAAATGTGCACTCACTGATGTGTGCGTTTTAATAAACAAAGCCCCAGAAGTGACCGATTAGCTGCATGTCACACACAGAACCATCCAAAACAGGACCCACATTCAGAGAAGTCTCCAATTGCTCTCAATCACAAGGCTCTTTCCTTTCCTTAGGGCAGCAGGACAAGCTAGAAGACCCAAATCTGGCTGCAGGTTCCAGCAGGTAACAGGCCTCATCCTGCACTGCACGGTGTCATCTCAGCCTTAGGCACAGAGAGATGCCCTCCTAAATTCAAAAAAAAAAAAAACCCTTACAAAGTAATTTTACATAAGGCTATATGTAAAGCTGGGGTCCTTCCCCCTTTTACAGTGCTGTCTTTAGAGAAATGATCATGTATCATATAAAGTATCCTGTCAAATGCTGCTATTCCAGAAGGCACTTGCTGCAAGCTCGAAACCTCCTTTCCCAAGTGAGGACTGACTCCCTCACCTGCAGCWCTGCTCAGGGGCCAAAACAAACATTTTGGGAAATAGTTTCACTGAGTTTATGATTAATACTTCATGGGGTTGACACCAGAAGCAGACATGTGGGAGTGAGCTGTAAAGTCTCCTTTTTTTTTTTTTTTAATAGATTAAAAGACAAGTCTGGATAAGGACGGGCTCTGCACACATACAGCATGAGTGTGATCAGAACTGTTCCACGAGGAATTTAATGATGCTTGTGGAGTTACTCTGGGGCTTATAGTAGCAGAACAGATCTGAATTCAGCCCTCAGATTCCAGGATTAATGACTTCTATGTCACAGAGGGTGCACAATGCTTAAGTCACTTACCTTCTCATTCACTCCTTCACCGAGAGCCTGCTCAGATAAATCTCGGTGCCTTCCCTTAATAACAACAATGATGATGTATAACCCATCAAAGAGGCTTTTCGGGACAAAGTGCTTTTATCCTCGAGTACACAAGGTAGCTGAAGGCCGAGACTTTAACATTTAGTTTTAAGTCTTACACTTGCAAATGCAAACACAAATGTTCTGCTCATTGGCACGCACAAATCTGTCCCCTTGTGTTTGCACACTCCGTCGTSGGGCACACAGGTGGCAGGTGTCTCACTCACCCAACATGAGTCCACTTGAATACACAACTGCCCCATGACACCCAAACTCAAATCCTTTGCATCTGCCACCCAACTGTCACATATCTGAAGCCTGATTTGCCAAAAAACAGGGGCCTCGCATGGTCTGGCAGRGGAAGCCTGCTCAACAGCACACCAGAATATCCTTCCTCTCTTKTAAGCACCAAGCCACCCTACCCTTTTTTACCCTTTCTACCCTCTTATTTTGCAGGACCTGAGCTTTCTGGTGACAAATAGGACACGAGCAAGAAGAGCCATCAGTCAGAAACAAACCTACGCTCACAGGCATCTTGTACTGCAGTGACTGCTCCAGTTCACTCTGTAAACAGCTTTAAACATACGCTTGTGAAATGCTACTCTGCAATATTTATAGCACCCCATCTCACCAAGTATTATGGCACTCATTAGCATTCCAGTTCCATCCCAGGGAAGGGAGCCATAGAGGTTTGTAGGCAAATCTACAGCGAGGAGCGATTTGCCAGGTTCCTAAGCACAACTCCAATGTGTAACACTCGGTCTCTCTTMGAGGGAGTGCACTGGGCCACACGCCTGACAGGGAATGTTCCCTCTAGGAAGGAAAGAGGCAATTAGGTTAAAATACAGCTTAGCTCTCAGGCAAGGTGACAAACAGTTCATGCACTGAGACAACCTTGTGCATCACACAAACGGATCCTCAGCTCTAGGGAGCTGGCACAGCCAGTTTCTGGGGGGTTTTCTAATGGCTGAGATTTGTTGAATTTGGCCTGACTTTGTGCAGGCAAAATGCAGGCAAGTAGAGCTACTTAGAATATTTCAACCCGTCAAGCAGCCAGTCATGTTCAGCAGCCGCTGTGCTCTGTGCTAGGAGATCGTGGAGGTTCATTTCCCCACCTTGCAGACACAGCACAGGGCTGTTCAGGGTTTTCCCTTCAACCATTTTACAGCCAAGCTTCTTAGGGCATCGCAGTGACCTGTCGCATGAACCTGCAGCCAAGAAGGGCAGCTTAGTTGTTTGAAGTCTAAGCTCTAGCACCAGAATAACTAGATTTCTTAGAACTGCAAGTTCAGGGTCATCTTAGCTGTTCACCAAGCTCAGCCCAATACATTCAAACTTGAATCACTRAGTGCAAGTGACCTTGTGGGGACTGCAGAAACAGAATCCTTGTTTCCATATTCCACCATTTCTCAAAAGAGTAATTATGCTATTACTGTACAACATGCACTAAAATGGTATTCCCCAAACACTCTTGAGTTTTCTCAGTATCAGCCTGTACCCCAAATATATACAAGAACCAGGCATTAATACAGTAAATAACTATGACCACCTGAATGCAAATGAAATTATTGCTTTGATCATGCCTTACAGCTACCCATTGTCACCAATCGCACCAAAATGCTAGTGGCAATCAAACATMATCAGATACTTGACTTCAACAGGCCTGAGAAATTTATGTGGAAAAACAAGGCAGGCACTGCCCTGTTAAGGTAGGCAAAGTACTGATGGAAGTGAAACACAACATGAGTTATGACATAGTTATAAACTAAGTAAAATAAAATCCCTTGTACAACTCAACAATCTTTTCTGCCCTTTCCTCTTCCCCTTACCCAGCAGACTGTAATCAAGATGCCATATGGAAAAGCAAAGAGGCAGCAGAAACTTGATTTTCACACTCAGTCAGGTTAGCATTAAAACAAAGACATCCCCTCCCAGCCTCCTCCGCCAGATGCCTCATTAATGCAGCTCTTGGAGCTCTGCCTCGGCATGGGGAGGAGATGCACTCACTTTTATTCAACACTGGAACCAGGACACTAGTGTTATAAAAACGCCAGGATAGCCAAAAGCAGACAGGCATCAGGAATGTCCCAGGTGGAACTGATCCTCCATAGGGCTGGGAGTGAAGAAAAAGAAAGACCCTCTCTCCAGGACCTTTCCATTCACATCATTTATGATGAGGATTTAGGAAATGTCCATCCATTCATCCATTTAGAGATAATGCACAATCAATGTCTCCAAATGCATCCTTTCAGTGCTGGTACCAAGGTGACATGTGACAGTCATTGCCAGGGGACAGAGGGTATCTCTGTGCAGCCGGGAGAGTTTGATACCTAGAACTTGCTTCAGTCCACGATGGGATCTAGGAGCTCACACTGACAACCTAGTTGCCTCCTTACCATCCATAGCTATCTGCCACAGCCTTGAAACAAGCCCTCTGACATGGTTTAGTCTGCCTGRGCTGCTCAGTGCCTCACAACTCCCCAGTTTCCTCTTCCCAGGCATGTTAGGCACCGCAGTATCTAAGCAGTGGAAAACAACCYAGCCCAGCTCTACAGCAACACATCTGCAAAGCCCCAGGAGAACAATTGGCTCCATCAGTGCTGGAGCTAACGAAGCYTCATCTGCATCCTCCAACGGCTCACAAAGAAGCGGCTCCCGCCCTCGCTCTCCCTGTAGCTGGGCTTTAACACAGCTCTCTGCTGAGGATTTTCTGGTATCTAAGAGTTTGGGAAAGCATCAACCCTTTCTCTCAGCAGGGACTCCAAGGGAATCAGTCATCACATCCTCTCCCTCCCCATCCTCCTGCCTGCTTTCATCAAGTTGGTAGGGGCAGAACACATCTAAATGTTGCCCTCTTTATTTGGATGAGGCTGAGCAGCGGAGTCAGCAGTTATTTTGGGGGAGCCAGGAGGGGTACAGTCACAGCCCTTACGTCAGCTCCTGCCTAAAAACAACAGGCAGATCAGCCTGCACAGTGACAGGTCTTTTTAATCCTTGTACCTCTTAAAGAGCCCTTCCGTGGTCTGGATAGTTCCTCTCATCCCCACTGCCCGCAGTCAAGCAGGGCTCACTGGAATCAAGCTGGCTTCCTGTAGCATGACATATTACAGCCGTTATTAGATTAACACTGCCAGGTCTGGAGCCAAAACCGCACTGATGGACAGGAACCAGACGCCTAGGAATGAAACAGCCTTCCCTCGGCCTCCCTGAGGTACCAAAAGGGCAGTCCCTGGATCCTGGTAGAACCAGAGCCAGGTGCTGTGAAACATCCTTTTAATGCAGCCTGTTCTGAAATCATAGAGCTTTCTGCTCTGGCTCTGGCAGCCTGTAAATGCCCCCTGCATCTCTCATGCTGGAGTCTCTTCAGTGCTACATTCATATTAGCAAAATTAAACCTTCAAATTCCCTCTCATCAAGCAGTATCAATGCTCCCATTTTGCAGAGAGAGAAGAGGCAGACAGGCTCCAGGACTCRCAGTGTGGCATGAGGCATGTGCCAAGGCAGAGTCAGAGGCTCCATCTCTGCAGAGTTCACTCCTAAATCACCCTCTTAATTACAGTGCCAAGACACAGGCCCAGACCCAAGCACTCCCACTTTGTGACAAGGACAAAAAGCCAGTCCAGGTAGATTTAGGTCTCCSCTCCTGAAGCAGAGTGGTTGCTGATGAGCAAGTGTCACTCAAAAGCTGCTGTGTTCCATGACACACTGGAGTTCCAGTCCACTCTGGGTTGTCCTCTGCCTAATCCTGCAGCCAAGACAATATCCAGGCCCAAGAGAAGCTCTTGRCAGGGTTGGAACCAAAGACACATCCCCTGCCTCTCTGTCTGTCAAGTAACCAAATGGATCTCTTTTTCTGTCATGGAAATATMAATGTGAACAGCAAAGCCTACAAACCAAAGGTCAAGGCAGTGCTGGCAGAAGACTTTGGGCCAGACCCACAAAAGGCTTCTAGGCTCCTTTATTCTTGCTAAAAATCAACAGGATTTTTTGCGTCTCCTCCCTGCTGAATCTAATTTATTCGCTTGTTCATCCCAAGGTTGTTTTCTCAAGCACTGGTAAAACTGGCCGGGATCCTTCAAGTAGTTGTACCGTCCAGCCATGAGCTCAGACGGACAGAACAACAAGGGCCCTCTTGAAGTTGCACATCTACATTTACCCTGGCTGGGGCACAGACTGCCTTTCTTTATACTCTTTTCTTCAATTAGGCAAGAMCCAAAATCCCATGCTCCAAAAATCATTTATTAAACAGCTTTGGCCTTGCAGACTCAGAACACGTCTTGTTTCCACTTATTCCTGGAGGTCCTCTCCACCATTTCCAGCATGGGCATGTCTGAGCTCAAGGGAGAGCTGGCAGAGAGTTGGGAAATCACAGGACTATCCCAGGAATGGAACTKAGGTCCTACCAGCACCGCTCCTCATGAGGTCAACACTGTTCAACTCACACACCACTTACTTGATCTGCTCCCAGGTCTTGGTAGCCAAATGCAGGACCCAGAGATCCTTGTAGTGGTAAAACTGCTCCCCGTTGGGAGATGCAAACTCGCCACCAAACACCCACAGCTGCCCRCCGCCTGTGGGCACCACTGCTGCCTGCCAGGACAAGAACGAAGAGCTGGATCAGGAGAGAGTTCAGAAAACAGAGGCAGAAGAACTTCATCAGTCACACGCGGAGCAGCCTCCAGAGAGCAGACAAGTGGCACGGGCTGCTGCTGCACTGCTTGGCAGTGGTAGTTCTCTGAAGGTGGGGAAAGAGGGATTTTAACTGCAAAATTCTTCATTWTTTAGCACATCTTCCCCATAGCAAAGGAAAATTAGAGACAAACGCAACAGGGTTGGCTGGGAAACATCGTGTGGTTCACTGTAATAACAATATTTCAAATGTTTCTTCAGCAAAAGGAGAAAYTCTACACAGTTAAGGTTTGGGAAGGATTTACCTGTCCTTTAATCATGCAAATAGTTTCTTGCAGATGTCATGCTRGTGATGAGGAACTCCAAGCCACACRTAGGAAAAGGGCATTTCCTGCCTCTAAGGCACAGGTAACATCCTACTACAGGGCAGGCCCAGTAATGGTGAGAGGCCTTACTGGTAAAAGGATGTTGGCAGTACACAAACACCCTTTATACATTTTGTAGATTGTAAAACAATAACTGGCACAGAAACCAAGCTGTAGCACTACTTAAAGGCTGGATCTTCCTAAGGCGTGAAAAGCATTGCTTCTGCCTTTGAATAAATAAAACCAAGCACAGAAGAAAACGTGCACCATGTGGACAAGAGGAGACTGCCAACGCTTCGTCCAAGCCACGTATCCGAGTGTTAAAAGGACTTGTTTTACTCATTAGTTTTGCAAGGAGCAGCACCAAAATATCCTGCTGAGGAGTTGACAGGTAAGAGGCAGGGAGAGAAGACCAAGACTCCAATTGAAGCTATCTGCATAGGAACCAAGAGGAGAAAAGATAGAAAATCCCAATCAAAATCTGAGCAAACGTCTAAGTATATTCTGTGTCTGAGACCTCTTGAGATTGTTACATTAGATTTCATACTTTTTTTTCTGGAATTCCTATCAAAAACCAAAATTGGGATAATGATCTCTTTCTTCAGAAGGGCTTCATTTCCTGTCTAATCCTGCAAACAACTAAGAAGGAGATTTTAGCATCAGACACGCGTCCATGCCCTGACATAAGCCAGCCTATACATGCAAGGATTAAACACGTGAGAAAACACTGGGCGTGTCTGTAAGAAGCATTAGTGGGAACGTGAAGTTCCCTAAGCAAAGGATGTATGTGCCCAATTTTCATGGGTATCTAGTGCTTTAAAACTTAGACGCAAGTGCATACAAGAGTCTGCTTATAATTGTGTATGTCCTTTTGAAGAGCTGGCTCCAAATTCATCACACAACCAAGCCTTTTTTTCTCCTCAGACAACTAACAACACTGGTCCATGGCTAGTTGCACTTTAGCTCTATTGAAYTGATGCAGTGAAGTAGCTAAGGGCAAGATTTTGGGGCACTGACCAGAGATGAGAAACGAGACTGCAAACATGTACCTACCAACCCCTAGACACATTTTTGTTTACCTTGTTGCTCACACAGAACATAGTTAAAGTCAGAGGGAAGAGAATAAACCACTTAAGGGCACTGGACAGTCTCCCCTTCAAACGTAACTATTCATCAAACAGAAAATGTACTGCTGAAGCAGTAAACTCCTCATACACATTTCTCATTTTATTCCTGTTACAACCTAATTGCAACTCTCTAGAGCAGAGCCTGCCTGCACAGTTTAGATGCAGCTGCTCTACAGCCACCTGCTGGCTACCACCACACAAACATGCACCACTTAACTCCCTATCAACAGAGCAACCTTTTCACTCAAGTAAACAAATACCCCAATTTTTGGTCTCCTTAGGGAATCTGATGATTTTTACGCAATCAGGTAACCAGTTGGAGCCTTTCAATCCACCAAGGCACCTGGGTTCTGAGCAAGACTAGGAGGTAGGTGCAGTGTGACAGGGGTGGATGGACCTTCCTGGAAGAAGCCCTGCACTGATGGACCTTTCAGCTTGCTGGAGAGGCAGCATGTGCAATGCTTATAGACATAGATCATTAAAAAATAATCATGTATGGCAACACAGCCATTTCTACTGGAAGTTGATCAACTTCCAGTTACATCCTGACCAAGATTTTTAAGATGAAAAAAATTAAACTCTGGTGCCATCTTCGGTTTAGGCATGATTGGGCTGGTCCCCAAATAGCACAGCAAGGCAGTCCATCTTCAGAAGAGGAGCTTACCTCCATCAGTTTTGTTTGAGAGCAGCTGAACCGCCAGCTACAACAACCCCAAATCCTKATTCTACCACTTGACACTTCCAGAGGCCACTCAGTAATGCGAGAGCATAAGTAGCCTGGACAGGCTTTGCCCCCAGCCCTGCACAAAGGCTGTGGTGACACTGCTGCCAGCCCATGAGAAGGGGGATGCATGGAAGCCAGAGTCCATTGGAAGCCAGGACAATTCCCATCTGTCTTGAGGGCAGTGTCTGCACAATTCCAAACAGTGCTTCGTCACCCTGAGTTTTACCTGGTGAGCACATCGCCTCGGAGGTGGGTTGGGGACCTCTACTTTAGTCCAGCTGTTCTTCCGGATGTTGTAGACATACAGTTCATTATACAGGTAGGTCTGTTAGAAAGAAAAGGAAAACACACATCACCAGAGCTCTCCCTTCAAGAGGATCTGTCTGCCCAGCCTCAGGCCCCYCAGCACCAGTTTTGCAAAGCAGAAGTTCAGCTGCCCCTGCAACACAGGGAAGGAGGTCAACAGGCTCCTCCACCAGACGAGGAGTCAGCAACTTTTCCAGCATGAATCCCAGACTAGATTGTTCTTCCGCAAACCTGAGGTGAAGCCCAAGTCAAGCTAGGATATGAAGACTTGTGAAGCTGAAGCTTAACACRGGTGTAGAAGTTAAAGCTACCCAAGGTGCTGCTCAACTCCAGAGACAAAAGCAGCTGAAGGTAACGAAGCAAGCAGAATTTATTCAGTGTACCACATGAGACGTTCCTAAATATCTTTAGCAGGCTTCAGTTCTCAGGCTAGAATATGCACAACTTCCCAGGGTTAGAGAGAACAGTTTGTTCCAGAAGCACAATAAGCACTTGCAATAAATTTAGGAACAAGAGCTTGTGCACAGCTTTGCTACCAAACACATCTCCAAGGCAAGCTATGCCTTTCCAGTTGTTAAACAACATAAAGTATCTTGTTTTCAGAGGTAGAGGATAGCAATAGTTATCAAAAATGAGGGGCAGATACGGCTACTRTTAAGTCTGGAGAAATTACGGGGCCCCTGAAATATTGATGCCGAGACAATCACTCTGACTCCTTAATAGGTTCTAGCGTGTCTCCTTCCTGCCAACTGTTCAGGCATGAGACAGTATCACTGTGGAATTAAAAGGCTATTTTGCTCTCATTCAGGGACAAATACATATTTTATGATCACTGCTTTGAATCCTCATTTCAAATGAGACTCATGCAAATTACAGTTAAGTGGGGGGCAGAATAAAGAAAAATGGAAGTATATATTACTTTTTGGCCATTGAAATATTCACCTCCAAAAAGGATCAACTCATCCTTCTCGGGATGAGCGGACAAGGAGCCATTCAGCCTGCAAAAGAGAGAGACATGGGTCAAGACCAGTACATGTTAACAATCTTGTGAAACCGAGACTCTTGTAAAACCCAGCAGCCTTGAATACAGACAGTGCTATAGCCCCTCTGCTCCCCGGCCTCAAAGGTCTCTCCATGAGCTGCACAGTTACTAGGTTGTGATATTCACCTCAGGGCTAAAAACTTCCCGAAGAAATTAACTTCTTTAAAACTTCCAGCAAGATTAATTTGACATCGTCTGAAATCTTATCCTATTTTAGGAGTACACGTTACACTGCCATTTAACATGCCTTCTGACGTGAGCTATTGAATTTTAATGCTGGTGTGTCAGGAACAAAAATTAGTTTTATGAGGATGCCTAACTATCGGGAGAACTGGGCTGTCTCATATCAACTTATCTGCGTCATCCCGCTGCAAACACCACTGTTCTTCACTCATCCATGTGGGGACAGGTCCCTACCTCCTTGGGACAAAGCAGCAAGTGATCACTGTAACATGCTGGAGACGAAGAGTATTGACCTGTCCCCCTATGCACAGGGGACAAGGGGTATTTACAGAGGAGGACTTTAAGACACTGCAAACAGAAACACAGAAGCCATCAGTGTGTGGGCTATACTCGATGAAGTGTCATGAGATACAAGACACGTTTTTTATCCCTTGAGCCCCTCCAGCTTTCTAGTCTAGATTCAAATGTTCCTCTTAAGCTTTTAGGGTTTTCAGGGGAATAAAAGTTAACTCTGCTTTGCTTCTTTTTAGTGGGGTGATGAGATGTTAAAAATGGGGATTTTAGGGTGTGAAATGCTTTTAGTACCTKTTTTTAACCAGGGATTCAATTTACCAGGTATTTTATGAATTCAGATATTAGTCCAACCAGACAGGATACCTTCTCAGGAAATAAGGTCACACAGATAACTTTTATTAACAGCAGGAACAACAGCCATATGAACTATGGCCAAAGCCTCATACAATCTCTTACCTGGGTGACGGAGGTGGGCAGGATGTCTCAATTACTTGGGTCTTCTTAGCATCTAAACTCTGGAATTCAGCTATGAGGGCTTCAAGATCCTCCTGCAAATTAAGAGCCAGATATGAATTTGTTGGCATGCACAGAGTCACTTATAACCTGCTGAAACAAGCACACAGCCTCACAATAACCCCTTAAAGAAGAAAACAAGTGAACTGGCTGCTGAAGTTCACTTCAGTGAGCTGTAAGATAAGGGCAATATGGGTTTCTACATTTGTTTTAGTGACTGTTCTTCCACTGAGAAGTGCTTAGAAGAGCTCCAAGAGGAAGGCAGGAAAGGTGCTTCTGGGAAACACCTGCTATTCCTGCAGGAAACGCACAAACGAGCAAATATACAGCTATCACTTAAAATATAACAGAAAGCTGCACGCTGCAGTCTAACCTGCTCTTTTCCCTGCCAGTGTAAATGCAAAGGGGAACGATTCCTACTCCCAGCTCATACCTGAGTTGGAGAGAAACCTCCACTTCTCGCTCCAACTCCCTTTCGAGCCCTGTGAATTAAACGCAACCCCATGCACGCGGCGACGAAGCCGCACGGGCACGAGGAGGTCCGCAGCTAGGGGGAGTCCCTGCCGCCACGCTGCCGGCCTCTCCCCAAGGCCGCGGCCCGGACGGCGGCTCCGGGCAGGGCGGCGATGGCCCCAACGGCGGCACCTCCCTCCGCGCCAGGGGCSGCGTGTGGCGGCACCGCGGGGCTGGTGGCACCGCGTTCCCACCGGCTCTGGTCCCACGAGGCCACGGCAGAAACGTTTCCCTTTCCCCCACCAAGGCCTGGAGGCGAAGCCCGGCGTCCCCGCTGCCTTTCCCCCTTCTCCAGCTCCCGCCGCAGGCTGCTCCTTGGGCCGCGAGAAACCCGCAGAAACCCGCAGGAGCCGCCGGCCACGGAGCCCCGCCGGCCGCGCTCTGCCCCGCGCCTCACCTCCTCCTTCCTGGCCCTGCGGGACACCTTCCTCTCCATCTTCGCCGCCGTCTTCTCRGCCCCCTTGCCCTTCTTCTCGCGCTTCCCCTTCTTCCCCATGGCTGGCGGCGGCGGCGCCCGCCTCGGCGCGCTGCTCCCCAGGCCGCGGCCGCCCTCCCGGCGCAGCGCTCCG